CTGAATCTTTTATATAAATAAACATTTATATTTTTGTGAAGAGCGTCAAGAGGGCCGAAAGCTAAAAGTAGAAGGACAATTATTGAACTAAATCAACCCTCCTACAGAGAAAGCATAAAGCCCACTGATGCTTTAAAACCGTTGCTTGAAACGTACTTCGAGTAAATAACCAGCCTTTAATATCTACATTCTGATGAATCTGGATGTCTATCTTGTTAGAAAAATGTCTCTAAGGGTATCTTTCTTATTTGTTTATAGTTCCAACGTTATCTCCGTTAAACGTCAGAGGATTCCTTGATAGTTCAGAGAGAATCAACGTTACTTGGCAACCGGTCCCACTGGAGCATCATAATGGTATAATTTTAGGTTACCGCGTCGTGTACGGCACACAAGGTGGATTGCACAAAAATGTGACGGTTAACGTTACTACCTTGTCGGTAGCACTTGGAAACCTACAGACTTATACTCTATACCACATCCGTGTTGCAGCGTTTACAGTCATGGGAGACGGAACTCTAAGTGACGCAATTACAATCAGATCACAAGAAGGAGGTAGGTTATATAGGCAAATTGAAGCAAATCAAAAAAGGAAATGTTCGCAATCTTCCACAACCAAATTGGACACAGAGGTCAAACGTCGGGCATGCGCGAGAGGATCAATTCTGGCTGGCCGAGTGTTACTTTACCGCTCAAAATTTGACAGAAAAACATCTTAAGAAACAACCGATGTTTCGAAAAATGAGCGGAAGAAAATTAAGGCGTTGATAGAAATGTGTAAAAGGAAACAAGAGTAGGGAACAGAAAAACTCGAGACTTTTCGAACGCAATGCTTCTTCAGTTACGGCACGAGCCATATGGGTTACTGGTTACAGTTATCCTGTTAATTTACCATTCTGTTTTGAGCTTAGACAAACCTCACTGACATGTGTGGTTGTTGTGACTCTTTTGAGAAAACTTGGCTCTGACAGCCTGACAACACGCCACCTAGTCAGTACAATGTTCGCACATGCGCAATGGTTTCACTGCTGTATTGCCAGATTAGTTTTATTAACACATAGCCGTTTAAAAAAAGATTTTACAAACCTTATCACTTCCAAGATCTAAAGATCCATTCTCTGGACTAGATTCTCATAAATTCTTATAGTTTTATCTCAGGGAATTTGATAACATCCTGTTACATTGATAACATCTCTCCTTTAAAATGTGTTGACACTGTATGAAGATTTCATTTTTGATTGCATCTAAGAACAAAAGGGTTAATGTCTCTTGCTTAGTACAAATCATGGAACTCATTTACTTTTTCATTCATCTATACCAGTACCCAGTCACCCTCCTCCAATTGTAATGGCGCACAGCACAAGCTACTCAAGTATTAAGGTCACGTGGCAAGCCATTCCAAAGGAGCAAGCTCTAGGAGTTATTAAGGTTTATTTTGTAAGAGTCGTGGACGCTGAGATTGAATCTTTGAATTGCGGTAGCTTGTTAACAAACACGATATCTGGGCTGGAGAAATCCAAGATGTACAAAGTTCAAGTGGCTGGCTACACCTCCAAAGGACTTGGAAACTTTAGCCGGGAGGTCGAAGTGGTCACAAATGTTGATAGTAAGTTGTTGAGGTCGCTTGAAAGAGATAGCCTCCCCTGGTGAGTCTCTTATAATAAAGCAGTGGTTTTACAAAACGCGATCATGCCTTAATTGTTTAACCCCCAAGAGTGACTGATCTCTTATTTCTCCTTACAATATCATCCTTGAATCAAAGATTAAGGTCATGAGAATAAAGGAACGGAACGAAATAAATCAAAGCCACAGCAACGCTAGGCCTCTTTTGACTTTCAACTTAGAATCTCTTTCTCAAGCTCATATCATTTTCAATTAAATTCATTTGTTTAAAGGTCTCATTGGTTCATCTAATCGTTTATGACTGACTTTTCTGGCCTTTGCTTGCAGGTTGTCGCGCTCTTGGAATGGAAAACTACAACATTTCAGACTCTCAGATAACTGCATCATCTCAATATGATGAGCAACATGCCGCCGGCAACGCTCGATTGAATTTTAATCCGGTGGGTAGTCCCCTGGCAGGGGCGTGGTGTGCTGCTTCCAACGTTGCACACCAACAATGGCTTCAAGTCGACTTTGAAGAAAAAGTTCCGGTGACTCAAGTGGCTACTCAAGGCAGATTTTATGATGGCAGTGGACAGAAATCCAAACAATGGGTGAAAACTTTCTCGTTGAGTTACAGCCGAAATGGTACCCTCTTTAAAGATTATGAACAGCTTGGAAACGTTAAGGTAATCTGGGATTTTATTTCCACTCGTTGGTGCAAAGTGCACGTCACATGTTGTCTAAATGATATGATATTTAGAAATGCCTCTAAAGTTTTGAGGAAATGAATTTTCATATGAACATTCAGCGGTCCAGCTAAATTTATCAGTGGCCGTAAAGTCGCTCCTTTTAACAACCCTGTCATTTGAGTTGTAAGCTTCTACAGTCTCCATTCAGGCAGGTTTTCACCAGCGACAGAATAGGATACCTGAAAACGCTTATGACCCTGTGAAAATCGGGGAAGTAAGAGAAGGCGTTAGCTCGATGGAAAATTAAAACGTTTTTAGTTACCTGGCGCTTCAGAGCCTATGATCCTTCGAAAAGTAGATTATCGGACTCAAAAAAATGTTGCTGAAGAACCAACTAATCAAAACACCATTTTTCAGGCCATTCGAGTTCAATCTAATGAGCCAATGGATACTAAGCGACGGAGTCATAAGCGGAAACGAAGCTCTGAATGCTTCCTTTTTCGGTCTACGCCTCTAATTACGATTCCGACTGCGTCGTTAGTGGAAATCAGCCTGTAAAAATTACTCTTACGGTAGTATCACCGATAGTACAAAAACATAAAAATAACCCTCTCTATTCCTTTCTCTAAGGCTGTGACCCATAGAAGCATATTTAGCTGAACAGCCTCATTGATGAGATTTGCCTTAGGATGTATCAAGAAACCACCCCGGTTTTTTTCATTCGCAGATATTTCAGGGTAATTGGGATAGCAACACAGTGGTTTACAATGTCATCACACCAGTGATCTACACACGGTATATTCGCATTCTGCCAAAGTCGTGGGAATCTCATTTAAGCATGAGAGCGGAGTTTTATACCTGTCAATATGGTAAATACTTAAAATATATAGTTTTTACTTCACAGAGTTGAACGTTGAATTCCTACAGTAACTACTATTTCGCCGATTGGGTCGCCGACATCCCAGCATATCATTACCATGTTGTTCCATATCGCAATGGCCCAAGATATGCCCTTAGGCCAAAAACAGTAAAAGTCTAGAGAGAAATCTCCCTATTCGTAGGTTAGAGTGTTCCTGTTTTTTTCTTTTTTGACAGATGACGACATTTTGGACAGCTATCAACGTCTTTCTAAAAAAACTGAATGACATCTTTAGTTTTCAATGAGTATTCAAAGATTAGATCTGAAGTGTCTTGCCAAAGCTCAACCAACGAGCTTCAGTTAGTACAGGAGTGAAGCTATGCACGAGGGACATCTGTAACAGGCCTCCTGCGAACAGCTAGGAACGGCAATGTCGAGGCGTCGCCATTATCCATTTTTTGCCAATGAAGGTTTTAGTTTATTGATAGGCGCTCTGTAGCGCTTTGGAAGGGATCTGACCGCGAAATTGAAATTTTGGAATCCTGTTCAAGTTCTCAGGTTTTCCCCGTCTTATTCTGAAGTATTATTCATCTTCTTACAGATGTAAATGTCGAGCGCGTCAACTTAACATCCTCTCTTCCGAGCTCAACTGGTGTCGGTCTTCAGTGGTCACCACCGGACACGGAGAAGTTGGGAGAACCGCTGTCCGGATACCGAGTGGAAATTTTTGATTTGCTGAGAGGAGAGCGTTTTAACTACACAGTGAACTCGTCCATGTCAGGTGCAAACCTGGACATTTTGAAACCGTTTACACCGTATGAGTTTAAAGTTTATGGCTTCACAAGCTCCTGGGAAGGCAATATTACTGACATAATCAGCTTGAAAACACATGAAGACGGTAGGTTTTAGGACCGCGGTACATATGGTACATTCAGGGTTTTTAGCTCTTTTGGGAAGCGATAGTATGCAATAGCTTAATGTGAACTTTGTTATATGTCCAGGAAAGCATTAAACATCGTATTCAGCTAAGAAAACTAAGGAACGACCAGAGCGCTTTAATTTTCAATTGAGTGTTGTAAGACCAGGACCGAAGTAATCACAATGGCAATTAGAACGATGGACGGAACAGGCGCGTAGGGAAATTGCTCGGAAAACGCGAGAGACTAAAACGAATTGGTTCTAATTTAAAAACTGATCGGTTGAGGAAGTAGTGGGGCGAGATTTCTTGACCAATCTCAGAGCGAAATGGCGCAAAACCAAAGCAATCTTGGACTACCCCGGCACTCAGTTGAAAATTTCTCTATCGATTCATTTCCTTTTCGCAATTCAGTCAAAGAAGATTTGAACACAACCAGAAGGTTCAACAACCGTGAGAATGTTCGGACGTTCGTAGGCGTTCGTGGTTAACCCGAATACTTCCGTTGATGGTTGACTGTGAACCTTTTTTTTTTCAGCTCCAAGTCAATCTCCAAGAAATTTCACTCTTAAACACACCACAAAGTCGGAACTATCCTTCCAGCTAAAACCAGTGGACGAGTATCATATCAATGGTGTACTGCGCGGCTACAAAGTCACCTATGGTGAAAGCAATTCTCCAAACGACACGTGGACGATTTTAGTTATCAACGCTACTCACGGCAGGCGTAGGAAGAGAAGCACTGAGAACGAGACACTTAGCTTCAGTCTTCACAATTTAAAGAAATACACCACGTACACAATTACTGTGTTGGCTTTCACCATCAAAGATGGTGTTCCAACATTGGCGGCAAACTTTACCACAGCAGAAGATGGTATGGCATGATATACTGAATCAATTTTACTAAAAAATATAGTTCATGTTCAAGTCCTAAATGTATCTACATATGTGTAAGCATACTTAATTGACACCCCCCCCCCCCCCCATGACTCAACGAATAAACATAGTGTATTAAACATCCAAACTAGTACGAGGCAGACCAGTTTCCCACAAACAAAGTGTAGCTTGAACTTTTCTCCTAAAAGATGCGACTGGAGCTGTCATTGCCAGCTTAATTATAAATCGTTTTTATCATTTGTAAGATTTTCATCGCACATTTAAACCTTTCATTCCTATGGGTGACCAAGACAGAATTTCTCCTTAAAATATCAGAACAATATCAAGCAGACAAGTGATAAGAATAAGGAAATATCAATTGGGGGATTGTTAGCTGATCCAATATCAAATTCTCCGAATTCATATGATAGGAGTTGTGTGGCAGAGAGTAAGGAGAATTACTGACGAGATCTTGGGAGTGAAAAGGTTAAGTTGACGAGCGCGTATAGACTAAACCGTGTGTTTGTTAGTTTGTTTCCCCGTTGTGAAAATATATAATCAGTGCCACAAATTGGGCAACAGTTTTCACAGTGGAAGGTGAGTATTTATTTCAATATTCTGACTATGATCATTGCTCCTTCATGCGTTAAGTACCAGATCATCCCCCGACAAATGTGACTGCGTTCAACACCAGTTCCACAAGTATCAACGTCACCTGGCAGCCCATCCCGCCAGATCATATGAATGGGATAATCCTATCGTATCACGTTAAATATAGGAGACGTGATAAACCAGACGATAGCGCTTCCATAGTAATAGTTATCAGTACAGAGGTCCAGGTGGAACTGAACGGATTAGGGAAGTACAAAGAATATTCTATACAAGTCGCTGGATCGACAGTGGTTGGCTTGGGCAATTACTCCGAGCCTGACTTTGTCCGAACTAACCAAGACGGTATGTAACGCATTTGGCAGAATCCGTATGGTGAAAATTTACCATGGTACTCCTCCTCTAAATTCGGATACATACGCCAATTGTACATTCTAAATCGTAGATCGAAAGCTGTGGAACCTTTCAAGAACTTGGGGTTATTTAGTAGTTTTAGGGAGGACTTAGAGACTTGTTTATTTATGTATCTCAAATTTTTCTTTTATGTGCTAACTTTTCCTGTACTGTAAACTCATATGGGTAAAAATTGTAATTATCATTTTTTGTTAGACAAAGACAGGCTATATTCTTTACCAGCCATATTACAAACCAAGGCCATGTGGCTTTGCTTGACTATCATCTCACTGAATGCTCTACTTCGGAAGATGTTCTTGTGAAAAATTGTGAAAAGCAAAAAAAAGAAAAGTGTATCCTTCTGCATTTCCAGTCCCGGATGAGCCGCCCGCTGACATCACAGCCAAAGGAACCGAGCCAACAGTGTTAAGAGTACATTGGTCCCCAGTCCCTGAGGAGGATATCAACGGTATCATAATTGGTTACGAGCTCGCTTTATTTAATACCAGTGGGGAAAATATGAGGAATTATACCTTAAATGCGTCTTTACTGTCGCTGGAAATCACCGGGTTGGAAATATGGACGAATTACAGTATCAGGATGGTGGCTTTCACTGTCGTTGGGGAGGGTCCCTGGAGTAACTTCATTAGAGGAACTACGGACGAGGAAGGTGAGCCACAGGACACTCAGTCTTCGTTACAATTACGATTATCAAGTAACTCGTTGATGATTGTTTCTTTTTCTTTTCTTTTTGTAAACAGCTCCGTTCAAATCTCCAGCAAATTTGACAGGACAAGCCAAAAGCTCCACTTCAATTTTTGTTCAGTGGAGTTCTCTTGTTCTACCAAATCTTCGGGGAATTCTCCGAGGTTACACGGTTTATTACGAAGAAGCGCCAAGTTCCGTTCATCCAAGCGTGTTGAAAAACGTCTCAGTTGACATCTCTGTTACTGACGTTGAGCTTACCGACTTATACAAGTTTACTGAGTATCATATTTGGGTAACATCGTTCACAACCAGGGAGGGGTTGCCGAGTAACTCCATACTTCTAACATCACAAGAGGATAGTAAGTTTTAATCGCTTCGAAGAGGCTTTTTGAGTTCAAATTTCTCTTTTTTTTTCGCTCCCATAAGGCTAAGACTCAATCTCTAACTTATTAACAACATGTTATCATCAGGTCCGGATCGGCCTCCTTTATACATCACATACTCAGCTCCAAGCTCCACCAGTCTGTTTGTTGAATGGGGCTCAATTCCTCCGCGGTTTGAAAATGGCATCATAAGGGGGTTCAAGATTCATCTCCATGAAATTCCGTTTAATGGCACAGTGGAGGAGATGGAGGTAGAACCTCTTCTCCACTGGATTATTCTTGATAATTTGAAGAAATTCACCGCCTACTCCATTCAAGTTCGTGCCTTCACTACTGAAGGATATGGACCCGGAAATAATCTCACTGCTCGCACCAGTCAGGATGGTATGTACCTCACGTACATATACGTGTAATTGACCAAGTGTGAGGTTAAGATTGCTAGATATTGGCCGAATTCTTTTTTTTTTCTGGTGTTTTTATGGACCGCGACCAAGTCGTGATCTCATAAAAACGGAAAAAAGAGAACGAGCCATCTTAACGCCCATCTTTCCCGCTCGGGTAGCCAATCAGAATACAGCATTCGCTTCATGATGCCCATGGGCGCTGCCAGCGATATAATGAGGAGTTTTAAGGCCTTTATCATAACTCAACTAAATGACTAAAATGAAGAATCGTAAGCAATATTGAGATTTCAGGGGGGGGGGGAAGTCAAAACTTTGGAAGGGAGGGTAAGCTGCAGTAAAATAAGCTGTTAGGGCTTATAAGACCTATCTAGTATTTGACAATGTTATCCTAACCGAGGATAGTAAGTATTATTGTTCTTTTAGGCGGATAACATGAAAGATAAATGTAAATTGATACTTCATGAGAAAATTCGTTCTTGTTTAATCTGCTGAAATATCATTGCTAACCCAGATGTCGCTCTTCTCGATTTTTTAAGTACCTACCAGACCTCCGGCGAGTGTCACCACAGCAAGTCACGTCTCTTTGACAACCATTCCAGTTGCCTGGCAACCGATCGATCCCGAGTATATCAATGGAATTTTAATCGGGTACAAGATAAGGTACCAGGCCGTTGCAGTTGGTGAGGAGACAGTTGAAAATGAGCCAATCAGAGAGCAGATAGTCCCGAAGTCTACTCTGTCTCTGGTACTAAATAATCTTGAAGTATTTACTTTGTATCGTATCGATGTGTTGGGATTTACAAACATAGGAGATGGTCCATCGGCAACTGATTATGCAGGTGTGTCTAAATTATAAATGAAGTCTTTACTCAGACTTTAAAGGTTGACCCCGAAATTGCTTTCCTGCCACTAAGCAGGATTGAAACTAAAGGAGGTTCTAACTTGTTACTCTGTACCCGTTACCCGTTACTCGTTACTCGTTATTCGTTATTTGTTTCTCGTTATTCTTCATGAGCAGCAGTGAACTAGTTGTTGGCCTGTCCATTGAACCGACAGCTTTCTGCAGAATTTTATCTTACATGGTGAAGAAAAGCACTATAAAAGTTTAGAGTCTAGACGAGCACACAGCACAATGAGTATGGCCAGAGTTCGGGCTTGTTTGTCTACTTAAAGCACTTTGTGTTAAACGTAAAGTTATCGCATCTGCCGTAATACTTTACCACTAAATATCTTTTTCGTTTTTTGATTAAAAGAGACTTGCCGTTGTCATAAACGCCTCACAACGAGTTGGTACGAATTTCGTCCATATGTTCGGGCGTCTAAGGAAAATCTCCTGAGTGGGCTTATTCCACCAATCCTTGACAAGCTAACAGTCACGTGCTGTGAAACCTGTCAATCACACGGCAAATCGTACGTAGACATGAATTCAAATGGGTTCAATGAATCCGCCGAGCTTCCGAGTCTACGTGCACTAAGGAGCAACATCGGAAATCCAACAGACTTTTTCTTTCCGATGTATGGATTCAAAGACCAGACGCATTTTGCCGAACAGTTTGGTTATCAAGGGATAGTTGAATCACCTGGAATGGCGTACATAGTGAATACAAACTCCCAGGATGACATGCCCAAAACTATCTTGGTGAACATTGCTTCTTGCTGGCCAGTAGTCATGCTGGCTATGGCTTTTACGTATTTAGCAGGCATATTAGTTTGGACAGTGGTAAGTCAGACCAGATGTTACTTTAAATTTCTCACTTCTTACAAACTTCTTAGCATAACTGTTACTATAAAGTAATTTTATGGTTCCAGCGCTTTCATTTAATGGTCATACTCTAAAGTTTCATTCAAAGACTCAAAATTTGGTTCCTTTTTTGTACAGCACGATAAACATTACCACTTGAAAGTACTACGCGGTATCACACACAAGTATTTCTACCAGTTAATAGCCGCATTATAGCACTTGACTCCGGGCTTTGGTAGAGAAATTGGAGAAAGAAGTAACGACATTTTACTTACAAATGAGAGAGCAAAATGCAAAAAGAAAAACATGTAGCGAGTAATCAGGCATGTTGGCTTTTTAGTCCAGAAAAGGCAACACACATAGACTATATAAGTCTGTTATCATTGCTTTTTGTTTTAATTTACCTCATGCATAGGAGTCGCGTTGTAACCCAGACTTTCCTCCATCGTTCGTCAAAGGATTACCTGAGGGCTTTTATTGGTCATTCGTTTCCATGACAACAGTTGGGTAAGCTTAAGACTTCTCGTAGAGTGGCGTGTTAATTGTTTCACAGTTCCTAGTTTGTAATCCGTATCAATCTTCTCCATTTTTACCCTTTTTTATGTCTTGCCCCTTCGAGTCTGTTTGAGTCAACTGTTGTTTTTTGAAGGCTCTCTGTTGTACGAAAATTTGAGCGTCGTAAGAAATACTTACATATCCCGAAGTCACGTTGGAGTCTAATTCTTATTTTCTCCTTATTTTCAACTGAGCAGCTACAGCTTATGTGGGTGGAAGTGCGCCTATTAAGAACTGATTTACAGTTAACAGAGATATACACAATATGTGTAACAATATAGTTGAAGGTTTATCAATTCCGCAACGAAGACCTATATTTACTCAGCGATCCACTACGCATGTTTCATAATGCTGCTTTTATCTTTTTCTTGAAAAAACGAATCTGAATAGTAGCTTATCTTCACGGTAAAGATAGTTCGTACTGACGAAATTTTACTCCATGTCATTTTTTTATCTTTCACAGATACGGTGATCGTTCACCGATGTCAGTTGTAGGGAGATTTTTTGCTATTATCGTTATCCTCTCCGGGCTGATAATCTTTGGTCTTGTGACAAGTGTCATGACAACGGCTATTACGACAGCTACTATGGAAACGAAGTCCAGTCTCTACGGAGCTAAGGTACATGCCAATACAATGCATTAAACTTGTCTATCAGCATATCCCACTCTAGAGAACTATACGAAAGTAATCCGTGGTTTTGCTTTTCTGCGCTCTGTGATTGGTCCAGAAGCATCACGCCACCCTCTCAACCAATCAGAAGCAAAACCGAAGCCAATGGTGCCTTACTCACCGCAGTTTTCCTGCACTCAAGGCTGCTGGCATAAATTAACTTTGAGCCCTCTGGTGTTCCTCACTTCAGTTATTCCGGATGGTCGTTGTGATAACTTTGCTCGTGACTCTCTTGGAGGAGATTGCCTCGAAAGTGCTCAAATTTCGACCATGATTAGCGCATGCTCGATCAAAAATGTCCATTTGCTTTAAAAACACCTTGACGACTGAAAAGGCTTTCAGAAAAACTTGATTATGAAAAAGGTGTGCGGCTATTGATCATGGTGAAGTGCAACAGTAATCTAGTAACAGTAATGAGCCCACATTTTATTACATTTAACATTAATCTAGTTTTTCTGTTTGTCTGACGATGTCGTCTTTCGATGTAGATGGAAATATTTCGACTGCACACTGCAAGTCTTCATCTGGTTATGAGGTCGACTGAATACATTCTGAATACATTCTATATGTAAATTTGACGGTAACTAAGGAGATGGGTATCTAAGCATTCGCGGTTTATCAGAGGAAAATCGTTTCGATTCTCGAAAGTGATCTTGTTATGTTCCCACAGAAAAAAAAATCCCACTGAAATATTAAATCCTTTTGATCACAATTCAAATCGTGCGAGGTCAATTTATCACGTGTCTCTTTTTGGTATCCTTTTGTGACTCTATTGGTTAGTCAACAGTTTAAAGTGTTTCGTGTTATCCTTACTGCTTCACAGGTAGCAGCGATCAAAGGATCTCCGGAATACAGAATGGCAGTGAGGAAGAATGCACGATTGGACGAAGGTAGGTAGAGAGAAGGTAAATTCTGATCATAGATTAACCCTTTAACTCCCAGAAGTGATCAAAATGAAACTTCTCCCTCTAATATCCTTAAATTTCCAGCAAATAGGCCATAAGAATTTTCAAACTTATCTGGTAGAAATTGTTATCTTGATCTAACACCAAATTCTCGAAATGTGTTGAAATGTGTAGCAGCTAGAAGAGAAAATTAACAATTTGATCTTGGGAGTGAAAGTGTTAAGCTACGCAACACGACGCAACTTGGGGTATGGCAACTCTCCCTAGATTAAGTGATACATCGGTTACGCCTGGGCATTTCTGCAGGTATCCAGACGAAAAATCCGTCTGAGTTATATCATGATAATGGCTTGGTTAGAGGCGTTAGGAGAGTATTGTGTCTTACCCACGAACTTAGCATAAACTCGGACAAAGATGCAATCTGACGTTTCCACATTTTCCCACTTTTTCACGAAAAAGTGAGCCCACGCACGCGTGGGAGTGAATCGTCGATAATTTCTCCTAACAGTATTAGTACTGAAGTTCATGAGGAGGATGGAAATGATCACAAATTAAAAAAGCTTTTGATTGTTGAACAAATTCTCTTTAACAATACCATAAAAAGGGATAGAAAACAGTATGAAAAATACTAATGTACACTCGAAACAGTATTTTGTTTACCAGCACAAACAATTAAGCGTAAATGTGAGCCAACGAATCTTGACTTGATTTTGCTGCTGATATTTTGGCTCAATATACTGAAATCCATTCCTCTTTTGCTTTACCAAGATCACGAATACCACACGTTTGACGATATTTACATAGCTCTAAATGAACGGCAAGTTATTGGAGCTTTGATAGATACATATAGTGCTGGAAGTAGCAAGGACTTGTTTGAGCAAGAAAATCTACGAGTGAATAAGATCCTGGATTACTCAGCTACATACGGAGTTGTGATGGGCAATGAAGCCAAAAAACTCCGGCGCTGTTTCAAGCATTACACTGAGAAGGTCTTGGCTAGTGAGATTGCACACCATATACAGAACAATACTGAACAGTTGCAGGTAGATATTTTCCTTAAATACACGAAAGGTAATGATATAGATCTTCGTTTCAACAGATTGGGTAGATGGTTAAATGATTGAAGAGGTTTAACTTCATCTACAGTTTAGGTTAGCCGTGAGAGGGATGTTTGCTAAGTAATGGAGGCCTAACTGACTGATGACTTGCCTGCTTGCTAGACTGACTGACTGACATATGGCTGACTAATGACTTTCCTGCTTACTGGCCTGACTGACCGACAGCTTACTGACTGACTAAATGCCTGAATAACTTCCTCATTGACTGGATCACCAACTGGCTGGCTGACAGATAAGAACGACTGTATGTGTGTTATAACATAGACAGATACTTGCCTTTTGAAAGGTCCGTTTGGATGAACTACACTTGTGTCAACTCGAAAGGAAATGGATTTTGTTATGAAATCGCACGTCTGTTCGTCTGTCTGTCTGTCTAGGGAGATGCTTTCTGTCTGTATCAATCATATCTCGATCTGTCTGTTTGTCTGACTTAATAACTGATTGAGCAAGTGACAGACGCACTCTTGCCTGCCTGTCTGTTATTTCAAGCTAATCGTTGTGCTGTGAGAAAGGATACTTTGGATGACGAACTTTTCTTGTTCATCGACTTCTTTGCCAAACCACTTTAATGATGTAAGATGATATCAGACTTTTTAAAACTGATTAGTTTACGTTTCTTTCCCAGGAGCCTGCTGAGTCACTCGCGGTGGAAAGATCCACAGGACTGTTCGACAGTCGCACTGCGTTATTCAAGAAATCATTGCTGGTCAGTGGTTCCTTGTTAACATTGTTTTTGCTTTCTGGCATTACCTGGGAAATAATTCGATTCATCAGGGCAAGATCGAAAATTCATCCATCAGGTATGTGGTGCTTCTCAACTATGATATTTTTGCTTAATTTTTTGAAGGCCTCACTAATCTCGAATCCAGATCCTGCCTTGTAACTGTAACTGAAATGCAGGATCCTTACAATTGCTTGGCCGTGGAAGGTCTGGGTTCGAGACCATGTCCTCTTTAAAATTCCCAAACGCCACTCCATCCTTTAGTGTGAAATAGGTACAAACAAACTATCAGGAGGGGGCGGGGGGGAGGTAACCAGCGATGTGCAAGCATCACAATCAAGGAGAGTACATACTCTCCACTCTCTTAGTAGCCTCATGCTAAAGAAACCGTTGATTAGATACAGCGGTTTTTGGCCAATCTTGTTTAGGATGCACTAGCTGTTGTGGTCAAAATTTATTCGCATGCCAATCAGTTTAATTTACAGCCTGCTTTGCCGGTTCTTCATTCCATGCGCGGATACAGACGATTTCTTAATTTCAAAGAGCCATGAAGAGTCAGTGTTTATTAAGAACGCCGGAGTTTTATGAGCGAGAGAATGTGTTTCTGCGCCGTCACCTTCCCGATCTCTCGTAGCTTGTTCGCACCTCACTTGAAAAGGAAATCTTTACATCATTTGACCCCTGAAATAACTGATACATTTTATCAATCTTGCTAACCACAGCTATAAGACAGAAGTTGGAAATGATGGGCGAGATGAAAGCGATGGTGGAAACTCTTAACAAGAACATTCGCGTAATTCATGTGAACTTGGCAAGAAGACATTACAGAGAAAGACAACAGTTATTAAACAGCCATATACAGGAGCCGAAGATAGAATTCCAATCAATAGCTGAAATAAGTTCTCAGGAACTCGCAAACACCTTTGATTCAAATTCACGTTTTCAAGAGGAAAGAGAACACGAGGCAGACTGTTGACGATGATGATAACGATAATGATAATAACGATAATGATGATGATGATAACGATAATGATGATGATAGTGATAATGGTAATGATAACGATAATGATGATGATAACGATGACGATGAAGATGACTGCGGTGTATGAACGAGTTGATAATCTAACGCAGTTTGATTGAGAGTCGCATGATGAAAACAATAATTACAATGGGTGTCAAGAATTTTCGTTAGGATAAGTCTCTCATATAAGTAAATGATAGATAGATAGAAAGATAGAAAATGTATTAGATAAATAAATGGATAAATAGATAAATGTATTTAAGGTGAAATAATTCTTACGTCAGCGGAGAGATTGTTCCTGAATATGGAGAGGGATTGTTTTAAAAAGGTCAAATATTTAAAAGAAGAAAGTCAGGCCCTTTTAATCCTTTGACTCTCATGAGTGACCGAGACAGAATTTCTCCTTACAATATCAATACAATATCAAGCAGCTAAGTGATGAGAATGAAGAAAAACATCAATTAATTATGAGATTACTGGTTGATTTAAACCAAACGTCGGGTGAAATGGCAACCAGGGGAACATATCAAGATCAAGATAGAGAAGCTTGAATCACCTCGTTCAGCGGCAGCATCATAGACAATATGACGTCAAACCACTGTTTAGAACACAGTATTTAATGATCACATGGCGGACATTCGGTTTTTTCAATAGAACAAGACACAGTATTTTTTTAAGATCGCCTAGAAAAGTGTAATATTAATGCGTGTGATTTCGACTGTCATAAAATACCGTTATTTCCTGAACGATAGTTGTGTCCGTGTGTTTGACAATCAGGAGCTTTTTTAAATCGGAGATAATTTCCTTTATTTTCATGACCTTTACCTTTGATTCAAGGGTGATACTGAAAGGAGAAATAAGAAGCCAGTTAATCTTAGGGGTTTAAGGGAAAACGTCGGATTGCGGATTGTAATCTCTGCGGCAAGATACTTCTCATGGCGCTGATTGACATACTTTTTTTTTAGATGCGTCATTATCTAATCAGATTTATAATAATGGAGAAGTAAAGGGCAAACGGGAATAAAGAAAATAGCTTGCAAGCAGACCATCGTCATTAGCGTCGCAGGACGCATGTTTCTCCGCCCGCGGGAAGATTTGAGACAAGTCGAGGAGAGGTTCATTGGGGGTGCGGTTGATTGGTGCCAGACCCCGCGGGCGAATAAATGCTTGAATACTTTTCGCTGGACAAAAAAAAAAAAGCTTAAATTGAACTTGCGATCTTCTCTTTATCGGAAATATTTTCATCAGTTCTGAAAAAGAAATTTCTTTTGATATTTTTCTGAAGGGATTTTATTATGGAGAAGAAATCGAAGAAATAGAAAAATGATAAAAAAAATAGAGTTTAATCTGTCTGCTTAGATTCATGCGTATTATCAGATTTGCTTCTTTCATAAATAAAACAACTGCCATCAGAGTGAATTTTTGAGAATTCCTCTTGATAAAAGACGCCAATTAAATACATGACCGATAGAAGTGAAAAAAAGAAGGAAGAGAAAACAAGAAAATTAGAAATGAGGGCGAGATATTCCCTTTCCCTGTCAAATAGGTGACGCCAGGTTACCAAGCTCCACATGTGCTAACATCATGGCGGCCCTGTTACGACTTGGAGCTGGTAGAGCATGCCGACTTTTAGCAGCAAACGCTATACGTAACCCTTCGATCTACCAACGAAACTTGGCAATTTTACACAAAGAACACATTCTGAAAGCATGTATTCCCAGATTTAGCGCCTCGAGGTACCTGAGCAGTGAAAGCACGGCTAGCGAGGCTGTTGAAGAAACAGCTGAGATCGAGAGAAATTCAGTGACCAAGGACTTAAAAGAATTTCAAAATGCACGCGAAAAACGATCTGATGCACCTGTAACTAGATACGATCGGGATAAACGACAGCTAGGAACCATCATTGTCAAGAAAATTCTGCTGAGAACATTTGAGAGTATTCTGCAAAATGGTGAGATCTTAATGTCGCATCGTGGCTTGTGAGAATGATTTCCTCTGCATATTACATTTACCTCTTCTGAGCGCAAGATAGCATAATTTTTTTACAGCAGTATTTTTTCTGTATATCATAAGTCATCATTTTCCTCATTTTCACACGGCTCAAGGATAAATGTACGAAATACGTGCTCGTGAGCGCAATGTGTGATCCAGTTATCGGCGTGTGTTATGTAATTCCTAATTCACGCGAGTTGTTCTTTGTAACCTTAGAGGGCCAACTGACACCGTTACAAGCTTACCAGGTGATACGAAATTGTGGATCGCAGTTATTGTATGAACGACCCGAAAAGAGAGTTGAATTGGCGCACTACATGTGGGACAAGATTATTGAGACAGGTAAATACTGTAACTGTCTGCTGTTTCTTACTCTTCTTCCTGTAACTTAGGGTATGGTCAGATAAATTATGCTGAAAAGTTTGGGCATTATGCTTTTGAGTGTCAACTCTTAAGTTATGCTGAAAATTATGCTCTACATTTTTCATAATGTGCCATTTAATAATTCAATAAATAGCTTTTAACCCTTCGACTCCCAGAAGTGATTAACATAAAACTTCTCCCTTCAATATCCATACATTATTCAGCAAACAGGTCATGAGAATATTCAAACTTATCAGGTAGAAGCTGCTATCTTGATCTAGCACCAAGTTCTCGTAACTAATAGACAAGGAAATGACTAGCAGCCAGAGGGGAGAATTAACAATCAGATCTTGGGAGTTAAAGGGTTAACTTTTTAAAAAATTTTTAAATTTCTAAAGTGTAGGCAAGAAAATCAGGCTCACTTTTGACATTACACAGGGTAAAGAACTGTATTAAACACAAAAGTTTAGTCATTTAGCCAGCATTATGCTCAACTCCCTGATTATAGCATTATACCAAAAATTTTGATTGTGTAGTTTATCTAACCCTGCCTTCAGCTTATGGAGATCACCAGTCTTATATAGACATGTAGAGCTGATTTCAAAATGTAACATTAGCAAGGAATAGTGGATTATCCTCTGGATGATCACTGTATAGCTATAATGTAGATTCTTTCTGGACAAACTTGACCTTTCTCAATAAGGGTTGGTAAATGGTACCTTGATAATTGGGGTAATCTTGCAAACTTTTTTTTTCAGAAATCACAATTATGGTATCAACCCTTTTACTCTCAAGTTCTAATTATTAATCCTACCCTCCAAATGCTACACATATTCTTGTAAATACATGTATGTAAGTTGCAAGAATTTTATGTTAGATCCAAATACCAGTGACAATTTCTACCTGATAAGTTTGAGTGTTCTCATTACCTGTATGCTGGATGACATACACATATTATAGGGAGAAGTTATATGTATGTGTTAATTACTTCTGAGAGTTTTAGGGTTAATATAAATTTAACTACCTTTGCATCCTTGTTTACTCTACAGGCACTCAACCAGATGAAACTTTATACAATGCATTGTTATCTGTGTATGTTCAAAACAGTTACATCTTCAATCCCCTTGAAGTTCTTGAAGAGATGGAGTTGAGGAATGTTGATCCCAACAGGGTGAGAAACTTTGGAATTAGAATTTTTTCTACACTAAATTATTGATGAGCATCAAATTTTGAATGGATATGACAATTTTGGGTATGGTTTTTTTTCTTTCAGGCAACCCTGCTATTGCTTATGCAGGGATTTGCAGAAAAAGGAGATGTAGAGGGCACCTTGTGAGTACACAGCTCTGTCAGGAATATGCTTGAGCTTAGCACAAGTGCTATTAGTTCATTCATTTGAAAGTGCCTTAGATTTCTTAGACAAAGAACCATATACACCCACATAAAAGCTATGATGATTATGTGAATCTTTAAAAATGTAATTTGCTAATATGTTTTATTGTAATGTGAAGCAATTTTTTTTACTTTTTTTTGCAGTAAAATGTTAGAGTATATCAAAGATTCCAAAATGCTTCTCACAGAGGAAGTGTATTCAGCTCTTGTCACTGCATATGGTCGCACTGGGTACGTGATAGCCATGTTTATTATAATTATGTGGGAGACACATTGGCCCAATGATTGGTGAGCTGGGGGGAGACATGATGGTCTTGGGAGTTAAAAGGTTAAAGACATCCACATTTTTGTCTGAGGTAGAAATCTGGTCTGACAGTTCTTGATCAACAGTTGTATTTCTTCCTCTACAGAGACATTGAGAGTGCCAAGGGTGTGTTTGACCTCATGAGGTAAGTGTAAATATTTCCTTCATCCAATGTTCTTGAGCTTGGTTGTCATTAGAAAATGAAAGAAAAGTACAAAGTATGTTCTGATTTGAGTAGGAAGCTGAAATGAATTTGCTCTTAGGAAGGGCTAATGCTTGAAATATCAGCTTTGAAGCTCTTTATGGGGGGCAATTTACATTATCATATTCAGTTGATAAAACCAAAGTATCATATGAACTGAGTTATGTTTGCACAAGAAATTTGCCCCAGAACGGTTCGTTGTTTTGTGACTCTCTCCCCTCCCTTAACTGGAACTCTCTTAGACACAATGCATGTTTTCTTAGCCAGACATTAATGTCAGAATCAGTTCAAAAAATACTCATTTTTTGTCTTTGATCATATTACTCACTAAGCAGCTGATGTAAAATGGTCTGAGAACCATAAGCTTTTTACCAAACACTTAATGGTACCGTTCTCTACACAGATTCAAAGTGCAGTGTTTTGGAGCCTAAAAATTTGTCGAATTTGTCATCAGCATGCATATTCTCCATACTGTTCCCCATACATTTCCTAAGGTGCTGACAAGGAGAATTTGTTTAACAATCAAGAGCTTCTTTAGTAGATGATCATTTCCTCTATTCTTGTTCTTAATGTGTGATTCAACCTTGGATGATATTTTAAGGAAAATTAGATGCTAGTCACCCTTAGGGGTGAGAGGTTTAATAACCAAGGCTTCAATTTTAATTTTAATTAAACAATTTATGCAAATTCAAATTTTTTTTCTTCACAGGGAGAATAAACTGGAGCCAGACATCAACAGTTATACTGCATTGTTAGTTGTTCATGCAGAAGCTGGAAACGTTGAGGGTATAATGGAAGTAAGAGACTGTGTGTGATTATGAATTTCTCTCTTTATTATTACCCAAGGATTTTTCAGATAGATCTTTAACCCTTTAAGTCCCAGATTAAAATTCTCCTTAGTGTCAACCATACAATTCTTATGAAGTTAGTTCAGCATTGGATCAACTAATTATTCTCAAAAGGATATTTTTCTTTATTCTCATCACTTTTCTGGTTGATATTGTATTGATATTGTGAGGAGAAATTCTGTCTTGGTCATTCATGGGAGTTAAAGGGTTAACCCTTTCTCCATATGTTATCCTGCAAATAGATAATGAGAATATAGGTTGTTATCGTAATTTCACACCCACTTCTTATAACCAAGTTACAAAAACATGTATAGCAGCTAGAATGGAGGAATTTACAATCAGATCTTGGGAGTTAATCCTTTAACCCTCAAGAGTGACTAGCATCTACTCTCTGCTTACAGCATCACCCTGAATGAAGCATCAAGAGCAAGAGAAACTCTTGATTGTTAAACAAATTGTCCTAGTCAGCATCTTAACCCTTCAAGTTTCATTAGTGCCTCAGACAGAATTTCTCCTGACAATATCAATGCAATATCAAGCAGACAAGTAATGAAAATCAAGAAAAGTATCAACTGGGGGATTATTGGTTGATCCAATTCCAAATTCTCCAAACTAACATCACATAAATTGTACAGACAGTAAGGAGAATTACTCATGAAATCTTGGGAGTTAAGAAAATGTATAGATCACAGTAGAGAGAATATGCATACTGATGTTAGGGTGAAAAGTGTTAAAGGATTAATGTATCTCTCTCCTTTCATAGACACTTCAAGAGATGCAAGAAAATAAAGTTTATCCCAACAAGAGGGTATTTTTAGTGCTGCTGGATACACTTTCAAAGCGAGGACACTCTGCAATTATGAAAGAGGTACACATGTTGCTCTGGCTCAGGTTGTTTGAACTGGGGTTGACATTAATCTAGGATTTTAAGTGTACCTTGCTAATTTGTCAAATCACATACGCCACATGTGAATACAAAAATAATGTTAAGGGTTGAGAGGGAGAGAAAAATTTAATTTGAAATTCAAAAATAAAATAGATTTTATACATGTAAAAGAGCAACTTTGATTCCCATTAGTGATTAACATGAAACTTCTCACAGTAATATCTATACATTATTCAGGAAATAGGTAATGGGAATATTCAAACTTATCAGCTGGAAGCTGATATCTTGATCTAGCAGCAAGTTCTCATAACTAATTTACAAGGAGCTAGAAGGGAGGATTAACAATCACATCTAGGGAGTTAAAGTGTTAAGAGCTAAAGGTTTTGTTGGGGTTTATCTCATTATGACTTGAAATTAATGGGAAAAAATATGCAAAAGAAAAATTATTGCAAAGCTTTAAAACTAAATTAAAAAATTACACAAACCCCTTATTGTGAGTTTAATCCTGTTTTGAACAACCCAGCCTGTTGTTTTGTATTTTACAGTGAGTATATAATATCAGCTTAAGCATTTCTTCGATTGCACAGTCATTTATGTCTGAAGCATTTTATAAGTGATGCATAAAATTCTGCATGTTTTTTCCAAGTTTATCTCAGTTTGTGTGATGCATATCTTAAATCAGTCCAACTTTTAGTTAAATTTATTGTGTATTCAATTATCATAATGATTTGTTTTTTTTTTTTGCATGAAAGCTCTTAGAGGCACCCCTTGTCATGGGTTTTGTTGAAAAAAGTAAGTATAACTAGCTAAAGATACATACACATGCATTTCATTGTTATTTTTTGAGAGACACTTTACATTTCCTTACACGCAAAAGTCATGAAAAGCAACTGCACCTGAAAATGTGGGGGCAGCACTTTATTAAGTACAGTGTATACACAGTTTTGTTTATGCACTGTTCCAGGGTGGAGAGAGACAAATTTGACTCAGGCAGAGTTGAAACCTGGACTCTTTAACTTTGATATTTTTTCTGTGTCTTAAATCTTTTTCTCTGATGAAGGGCTAACACTTAGGAACTCTCTTTGGTGGCCACTTTATGTTATCTTCTCAGTTGATAAAACCAAATTATCTTGTTGTACCCGAGCAATGCAGCACAATAGTACCTTGAGAAACTCACCCCCTCTATTGATTTGTCTTTAGCTTGTGGTCCAACACACTAATGGCTGACCCTGCATCTCTAACAGCAGGGGTTACACACTTGTAGCAATCAAAATCAAACACACCCATAATGGTAATACGACTGAGTGGAGTCCAGTTTGGTCAGTAATCATACAAGTGATTTGTTAATCATGAGTATAATTACAGACAGAATTGGATGACACGAAGTCCTGTTACCAATTGATCAAAACTAGGACAAAATTTGAATACTGGTCATTTATTTTCATTTAGAAAAAACCAACAATTAACTCAATGAAATGCAAAACAACTGTGCAGGCACATGACACATTCTGTCCACTAGCACAGGCTTGACGTGTTAACTATCCTTTAACTGTCCTATTACACTAACCAATTACAAGCATGTTGTGTACAATGTCCTATCAGTTGGGCTGGTGATGATGTCCGACAATTTTGTTGTAGTTTTGTTAACCATTATAATCACCTATGTACTCAACAGACCTGAGGGAGTTTATGATAACAGTTACAACCCGAGGGGAGATAAACACTGCCTTCCTTCTGCTGGGATACATGCCCCAACCGACCAATGCTTTCGGTCAAACTCTGGTCGACAGCAATGAACGTGTTTTGCTTCGAAACACAATCCTATCTGGTCAGGTAAGTTCACAGTCACCCCACTAAATTCCACAAGTGACCAAGACAGAATTTCTCCTTTAAGTATTAATACTTTATCCAGCAGACAGTTGACGAGAATAAAGAAGGGTATCAATCAGGGAGTTAGTAGTTGATCCAACACAAAGTTCTCAGAACTATCATCATAACAACTGTATGACAGACAACAGGGAGAATTACTCATGAGATCCTAGGAGTGAAAGGGTTAAGGCAATTCCATAGTATTGCATTGCACATCCTTACTGTGCATAATTTCACAGTCACATAACTACTTGTAGCGCAGGTATGTAAAAAATGCTGGCTTTTTATCGATTGTTGGAGGTCACTAAGAGATAAATAGTCAATACCTCTTTCTCAGAATTGAGCAACGATGTTCTGTCCATCAAATAAATAAAACCCAATTCTTATTGGAGGAAAAGGAACAATTTTCAGAATATGAATTTAGCAAGTCCAAAAAAATAGAGGTGTTGTGATTTTGTGTACAATCAATTATCTACAAGGTACTACTTCCCCTGAACAAGCTCAGGGACTCATTTTTTTCGAGATTTATTTTCATACAAGATAAACAAGAGATAGGTAAAGTTTGACAAAAAACTCTGTGCAGGTTCTATTTAAGAGGAATGGCTGTGAACACTCAACCAAAACACATTATAATTAAATAAAATTAATGTGTTGTTTAATTTCAACTTTTGTAAATTTAAATATATTCCTGTTTTGATTTTTGTAGGGAATGGATGTTATCATGATCACCATTCGTGAAATGGAAAGGCTGGGCATCTTTGAAACAAAGAAACTGTATGAACAAGCATTGGACTTTAGCTACCATGCTAGAAACCCAGGTGAAGTGGATACTTAGTGGATTATATTTTCTGTCTTTAAAATGTAGCTTGAGCCATCAAAATGTAGCTTGAAAATCTTTGTGAAAACTGGAGAATTTTCTGAACTCCAATGCCTAATTTTAGAAAATACCAGGTTTCCTTTCTTGTGATGTTCAGCTTTGTAAAATTGAACGAAAATTCAAAATGGTGAGAGTTTAACTCATTCCAAAATTTTATTTTTTATTAATTTTGATTTAAGCATTTTTATGTTTGATTTTCTTGTGACGCAGTAAACATGCACCAATAGTCCAATAGTATATTTATTTACAGTGCCATGTTACACAATGTTTAAAATTTCCCTTGGAATTTTGTTCAACAGAACATTAATTTTTTTACATGTAACTCAAAAATAGCCACTATGTTCTATTTTTTCAGAACTAAGTGTTGTCCTCTTGCAAGAAATGCTAGAAAAGGCAAGTTTTTTATTTCGTTTCCAGTTCGTTTACCCATTTAATATTCTGCCCATTTTTAGTTTTAGTGCAATAATAATTGTCCTTATTGTTATCGTTATTATTACTATTTGGTGATAATGATAATTATTATCATTATTATTTATTTATGATCATTATCAAAGTGCTTTACTTTACATCATCATCATTATCATTATTTCTATTGCTGTTATTATTATCATTATTGTTATTATTATCCCTTTAACTTCCAGACCAAATTTGTACTTCTCCTTACTGTGAACCATATAATTCTTATGATGCTAGTTACGAGAATTTAGTATTGATCGACTAATCATCCCCAAATTGATAGTTTTCTTTATTCTTATCACTTATCTGGTTGATATTGTATGGATATTGTAAGGAGAGATTCTGTCTTGGTCACTCATGGAAGCAAAAGGGTTGTTATCTTTTGGAGAGGTTTTGCAGTAGATAAGTTACCAAGTCTGAACACATTTTATTTTTTTTTTTATTTACTTAGGGAATACCAGTACGAAACCATTACTTTTTCCCACCCTTGGCTATTTATGCCAACAGGAAAGACTCTAAAGGTACATATTACAGAGATGGGTAATAAAGGAATAAAAATTCACTTATGGGCTTGGATGAGTCGCATGTAGGGAAACATCTATGTATAATCAGTATTTCCCAGTTTGTTTGTTTTCTTAGTTTCTGTAAGGTGAAAGACAATTGTTTCTAAACATGATGTTTCCCTGACATCAAGTAAATGCAAACAATAATTGACTAATAACAATACATTAACTCATTTTTTTTATTGAAAAAATGAAATAATAGTGGTAAAGTCAAATCCCTTATTTGCTGGGTTAACATGTACATGTATTTCAAGTGGACATTTTGCTCATTGCTAACACTAAGCAACTTGCAAAATATTTGCATGTATTTTTTTATTCCAAGGCAACACATATTGGTAAGTTTCCTTATATGGGGTTTATTTAAGGCCAGAGTCCTATCAAGTACAGTACTTTGCAAAACTAATGCAAACACCTGTCAAAATTTGACAAAATTCCTGGCTTTTGATTTCGAACAGTATTGATTGATAGGACCCTTTCATCCACTGATTTTCACTTCATGATGAGTATTTGACGCAAAATCGTCCTATGTTCTTACTAAATACTGTTTAAAAAGGCCTCTAACTTTCAATCAAATTTTCTCTCAAACTTTGGATGAAAGATCCCTAGAACTAAAAATGCAGTATATTGTTTGCATTACTTTTGCAAATACTGTAAATACAGTTAACCAAAAGCAAAAGGGATGTTTGAGAATTATAAGGGTTGCTATTGACAGATATGAAACATTTACAAATGAATGTAACTTGTACATATTTCATTTTTTTTTTGTCATCATTGTTTATTCAGGGGCACAGGATGTCTGTGCACTGATGATGAAGCATGGTTTAACACCAGATGGCAAAATGTGAGTATACTTCAACCCTTTCCCTCCTAAGAGTGAGGAAAAAGTAATTTGTCTTTTAATTATCATACACATACTGGTATCTATTCCTTGTCAGTGTCAACACAAAATTTTCACAGCTAAAATTCACTTATGCCTTAGAGTTATCTCAGCCAACAAAATGAGGAATTTTACTATTTTGCACAATAGCAATGATGAAAATTGCAAAATGAATTCAGGGAAGCCAAGTATGACCCATGTCTACATCAAATTTTCAGAGCTTAAATTCACTTATGCCTTAGATTTATCTCAGCCAAAAAAATGAGGAACTCTACTATTTTGCACTATAGTAATGATGAAAATTGCAAAATGAATTCAGGGAAGCCAAGTATGGCCCATGTCTACATCAAATTCTCACTGCTATAATTTGCTTTAAAATGCCCCAGAGTAATTTCAGCTATCAAAATTAGGAATTCTACTATTTTGCACTAGAGCATTGATGAAAATTGCAAAATTAATTTAGGAAAGCCAAGCAAGACCCATTTGAAAACTACAAAATTATTTATAGTCCTTAAATCCCTTAAAGGGACTGGCATTTAATTTCCCCTCACAATGTCCCCCCCTGAATCATACAGTAAGGTCAAGAGAATAAAGGAATTGATCAACAACTGAAGATGCTCTTGATTGTAAAACAAATTCTCCTTGTCAGCACCTCAAGAAATGTATAGAGAACAGTGTGGAGAATTTGCATGCTGATGTTAGGGTGTAAAGGGTTAGGTTCCTAACAGTAACTTCAGTATCTACATTTAGCAAAACTACATAATTTACTACCATATGTGTTTCCTTAAAAACAGAGACATGTACAATGTCATCTATTTTCCATTTTATTTACAGCTTCTTTGCAAACATTGTGGTTAAGTTGGCTTGCTAGGTCATTTAGTGAAACTGGAAATCATTCATTACTTTTTAAAGCCTTTGCCTCCTTAGATCTAATTGTTAATTCTCCCCCTTTGACTGCTGCACCCTTCCTTGTAAATTGGTAACAAAAATTTGGTGAAAGATTAAGAAAGCAACTTCTACTTGACAAGTTTGAGTATTCACATTATCTACATGAAGCTTTGCTAGATAATGTATGGATATTATCAGGAGAAGTTACATTTTAATCAAAGTTAAAGGGTTAAATGGTTGTTTTAGTTCTCTTGGCAAACTTTCCATTGTTTTAGGCCATTAACTCATGTTCCTCTTTTTTTTTCTTGTAGTTTGAAGTACTATGTAGAGTCATTAAATGAATCAAGTGAAAAAGATATCCAAGCAGTAATTACCTTATCTGAGGTAAGTAATAGATAAAGATTAATTTATTTGAAATTAATTTTGAAGGAATGCCTCAGTGCTTGTGTTAAGAAATAAGTGTGCAGAAATACAACATGTACAATCGTAGTATCGTGGACAGTAGACCAGTTTGAACCTTTGAAACACGGCAGCTGAGCCACTAATCTGTGGAGTTGCAAAGTTGTGGCCCTCTTGTTGCCTTCTCTCATTCATCTGCTTGAAGTTTAAGGAGGTGTACAAGAATGCATGCATTAGCACAACATTGAATTGTTTGAACCTGTGCAAACATTGAATTGGCTAGTTCAGGCTTGCCTTCAGGCTGTCAGAGCTAAGTTTTCTCACAAAGTTTAGTAAACTGCCTTCCCCAGTTACAGATTTCAATGAATGTTTCAATATTCCTTCACCTATTTTACTAGACAGGTTTTGTTTCTTATATTTTCTTAGAAATTTTGCATGGTGAATTGGCACATTGGCACACCCAAAACTGATCCCCTCACTCATGCCCCACATCTGACCACTGTGTTACATGAATCAAATGAAACTTTACTGTACATTAACCAGATTTTGGAGGAGTTTTGAAGAAAATTCTAAGCACTCTTTGAAACCAGGTGGAACCATGAAACTGCTGAAGACAAAATCCTGATAAGAATGCTATCTTTACTCAAAATTTGTCAATTTGTTTTTCATTTAATGTCAGTTGTATTATTCCTAGGGTTTGCCTACCACCAGATATACAATTACAACCATTGCTCAACTGTTTATGATGATTGGTCATTTGGACAAGGTGGAAAAGACCAGTGAGTATACTGTTACTGAAGAGGGAGAGTTTCAGGGAATGCACATGAATGGCACTTTATGATGCTAACAGAATTTCAGTGAAGAAATGGTTTTCTTGGAGGCTTAGCTCTTGAAACCAGGGGTAAAAAAGGGATATAAAACCTGCTAATATGTGATTTAAGATCAGATATATGTGTTTTATAAGAGAAAGCATACTGAGGTTTGAAATGACTCCTACTTGTAAAGTCTGTTTGCGAGCTTGTTAGTCCACCAGGCCGGAGGTTATCCAGGTTTACAGTGTAGGACCAGGAGCATTACTACTCCCTCCTGGATGGGATGCTAGTCCATCACAAGGTTACCCCCCCCCCACCCTGCCTGTACCCATTTACACTTCAGGGTAAAGAGAGGCACTGTGGGAGTGAAAGTGTTCTGCTCAAGAACACAACACATTGACCCAGCTAGGTCTTGAACCCAGACCTCTTGACCCAAAGTCCAGTGGACTGACCATCAGGCCACTGTGTCTCTCCAACTCCTACTTAACCCTTTAGCTCCTAAGAGTGACTAGCATCTAATCTCTCCTTACTTTGTCCCCCCTGAATCAAACATGAAAGTTATGAGAGTAGAGGAGATGATCAGCAACTAAAGCAGCTCTTGATTGTTAAACAAATTCTCCTTGTCAGCCTCTTCAGAAATGTATAGAGAACAGTATGGAGAATATGCATGCTGATGTTGGGGTGTAAAGGGTTATTATTACATGAATAATGATTATTATTCTAATTATTATCATATTATGTTGCCCTTTAACTTATATGAAGTCATATTATTTTTTTCTAGTTGAATTAGCTGAGAAAGAGGGTGTCAATCTTGGAGCTATAGCGATGGCTTTTGAAGGATATATCCTATCAAAGTATGTCTCAGATAATGATTTTGGAATGACATTTATGCTGAAGCTTTTATTTGTGTAAATTTTGCCAAAAAACCGTAACACGAGGAGAATTATGGTGGATATGATTACTGAAGTGAAACACAATAATATTGAACAAGGAGAAAAAATATGTTGCATATTACATTATGGCTGCAGAAGGAATCTTATTGATTGTAATCTGCAATTTTTTCGGTTTTGAGATCCATTTGAGAAAGTGGCCCTCAAGTTGTATGTAGCATGGAATTTTTTTGTGCATAAATTGGCAAGGTCATTCATCGCAAATGAACTTCTAATTATGTGCCTTGTGGCTGCTTTAACCGTTAACTCCCAGGATCTGATTGTTAATTCTCCCCTGTTGTTGTGACACATTTCTTTGTTAATTGGTTGCAAGAATTTGGTGTTAGATCATGATAACAACTTCTACCTGATACATTTGGAAACTCCCATTACCCGTTTCCTAGATGATGGATGGATGTTGTAGGGAGAGTTACATGTAAATCACTTCTTTTCACTCCTAAAATCTCATTAGTAATTCTTGTTATTGTGTGGCATACAATTCTTACAATGCTACTCTGGTGAATTTGGTATTGGATCAACAAATAATCCACTAATCGATACTTTTCTTTATTCTCATCACATGTGTTTTTGATTTTGTATTGATTGTAAGTAGAAATTCTGTCTTGGTCATTCATGGAAATTAAAGCGTTAAAAACTCTTGCAGTCAGCACAGAAAAGAGCCCAATGTGACTGTTCTTGTATCTCCTCTACACTAATCTCTTTATTAACACAAACTAACACCAACTAATAAAATTGGAATTTAACTTGACTCAAGCCAGACTTTGGCCAATTGAACAATTGGGAACAAGTATCGAAAAAAATAGTACAAGTTTAAGAGTATGAGGTCGTATGAGGCCTTCAATAGCTTTTATTTGTGCAATATTTAGACAGGCTGGCAATTTTGGCTTAACACTTTAACTCCCATGAGTGACCAAGACAGAATTTCTCCTTACAATATCAATACAATATTAAGCAGTCATGTGATGGGAACAGAGAAAAATATAAATTAGGGGATTATTAGCTGATCCAATACCAAATGCTCCAAACAAACATCATAAAATTTATATGGCAGACAGTAAGGAGAATAACTAATGAGATCTTGGGGGTTAAAGGGTTAAAACTGGTTTACAAAGCCAGACCATGAACCCACAGCTACGTTCCCTGCTCTTTGGGAGAGGTGGGTGGGTTCTTTAACATTGCCTGCTAACCAGTACATAGAAGATCTAGGAGACGGAGCTTATGGTTTATTGTCCTTAAACAAGAAGACTAGAATGTCTAACCATTTGCAGATGTCAGCACAAGGCAGCACATTCTCTTCAGTTCTTTGAAGACCCTGAGTGTTTGTCCGGTTTTACACAATGCTAGTCGTGTACTTTGATGCCGCCTACATACAAATGTTCATTCTATTCTCACTAAACTTAAATGTTACATTATCTTTAATTTGTTTTTTATTCATTATATTTTTGTATATTTTTACTTTTGCCTTGTCTAGAGCATTTGATCCTAAAGAAGCAGTGAAGGTAAAAAATAAGTGATGTTGTTATACTGTATGGTTACTTTGGAAAATTGTATTCTTAATGAAATCTGGAATGGCAGTGGATTCCTTAATTCCTCTTGCAGTAATTGAAGCAAATAATTTAAATTAAAACTGTCTAATCAGAGCTGGCAAATGCTCTTCTGATTGGCCCCTGTGATTTCTTTGGTTCAGGTTTTTACCGTTCAGACAAAAGGCTCTTTACGTACTTTTTTTTCACTCAGAAAATCAGTGTTGAGCAAAAGCAATTGAACTTTAACCATGCCAGGTCCCAAGAAGGTTATGTGAAGCTTTTCAACAGAGCTGACGAGGATCTAATCTTTTTGCTACACTGACATTTTATTAAATTACTACAATCTTTTACTCTTAAACTTTCCTTTTCTTAGATTCTTGAGATGCTTGACAAAAAGGATATTACAGCAAGTAAGTTAAACTTTTGAATTATTTTAGTTAAATTAGTGAAAATTTTGTAGCTTTTTTCGTAGAGTTCAAGAAATAATTTGAAAATATTTTCATGTCTGCGATGTCTTTGTTTAAACAATAGCTGCGTGTCAAGTGCTTTGTCCTTTGCTATTGTTTTGCGTGTGATAATTAAATCGTTGTAATAATTTAAAGTTATTCGATCGTCTCGATCCTTAATTCTCGATCTTCGATCCTCGATACCCGATACTCGATACTCGATTCTTGAACCTCGATTCTCGATCCTCGGTTCTCGGTCCACGATTCTTGATAGCTTCGAGGATCGAGGATCGAGGATCGAGGATCGAGGATCGAGTATCGAGTCGAGATTGTCAACTTACCTTTGAGCGCTGTATTCCTCATATCACCCCAACTTTTAGCCATGTTTAATGATGAACTTGTTATAAACCGTAAGTTTTCTTTATACTGATTTCAGCGAAAAGGATCTTGGAAAGATTAAGGCAAACAGACCCTGATTCAGCCGTGGAAGATGCAACTTTTGTGAAACTTATTTTAGAAGCTGTAAGTTAAATTAAAGTTTAGTTATGATATAATGGCTGGAACAGCTGTGTCATGTGGTTTTTTTTTTCTAAAGTCTTACTTTGTCAGCCACAGACTTACACTTTTTACCTTGTTAAGCAAATTGAATAGTAGAACAGCAAAGTATTGCCCAGGAGCTCTCACCAGAGTGGTCATTCAGAAGGGTTTCATAACACAGCGGTAAAACGCCGGGCATGCGCACAGGGAAGAATTCTTGTCGGCCGTGCGCCAATTTCCTGCGCAAAATTTCAAAGAAAAACGTAAGAAACAACCGCTGAATAGATTCCATGTTGCCTTTCATCTGTTCAGCAGTAGACGACAGATGAAGTCAACACATTTTGACGTCTTCATTGATTATTTCTACTCAGACTCGTGGTAACATGGAATTTAAGTGTTTTATGTCATAGAACAATAAAAATTTTTAATGGAGTCGTCATCTATGCATTTGTTTTCAATAGATCATGAATGAGAAGCAATCTAACTGCATTCGCAATTCATCTCATTAGACATAGAATACTACATTTTTTTTTTCAGTTTAATTTTTCATTTACCAAGGTTTAGAATGAATTTACTCACTGTACACTGCCTTTTCTTGGTAGGGTCTGTCTCATCATCTGGAATCTCAGACTTATACACTGCTGATGCAACAGTTGGCGGAATTCAAATTGTCGCAGGAATTTTATGAAGTAAGTATTTTTCGAGGTTTAAGGGCGGATGATTGGTTCATTTGTACTATGTGGTACAAAATACTCGTCTCTGATTGGCCGTGTACCATAGTGCGCCCGTGTACAACTGTAATGAATCTCATGAACCGTTAAATGGAAGCCAGTCCAGGAGTTTCTGATGATAATTCAACAGCAGTAACATGATTTTGGTTTTTACTTTTTTCCCTTCAGCTTCTACGAGTTATGAAGGAGTACGAAGTACCACTCACTTTTCATCAGTACAGGCCGATGTTACGGGTAAGCCACGAGGAAAATCAAACACTCTTATTCAGTGTAAATGTAGAAAGTACAGCGGCAAGATTGATGAGAAACGTTTGTTGCGTTGATAGAATAAGAAAAACGATAACATTTGAGCTCAGTGATGAAATAAGGAAATAAGCCCCAGGAAGAAACCTCGTAAAAATTGAGGCCTTGAGGACAGAGTGGTCATTCGTGCAAGGTCTTAAACTTTCTCGTAGGCGAAGAAACGCTTGTGCTGCATTTCCAACAGTTAGAGGGTGTTTGTGGGCTAGATGTTATTCCGCGATTTTTATTTTAGGCCATATCTGTTGTATAGAATAAACAGAACTGTAAAACTGTGAACAGAACATCGGCGGCTTTTGAGCCTCTTAAATAACTCAAAGAGGATGTAACTTTCTTATTTGACATGTGTAGATTATGGCTTTTGATGGAAAAGCAGAGGCAGCACAATTTTGTTTCGATAAGCTCAAGGTATGAAACATGAGTTGGTTTCTTGGTAGTAAGCTTTAATGTGTTACTTTTAATGAAGTACTCGAATTCAGTTTTACGAAATACTGAGAGTGCAAGGTATTTTCGACTGTAGCCTTATGTAAAATACCTTTTGTTTGTATCAAGGATGTTTAAACAGGATTCATTATGGACAATGTAGAAAGATTTTAGGAAACCATCAGAAGTTCCATTGTGTGTTCTGATTTTTTTTCCCAACCGAGTTGGAGATGTGAACTGCCCACTGTAGAGAGTTTCTATAGCTGACGCTTCAAGTAAAGCTAATGCTGGAAACTTCAGCTTTATCAAATCAGTTGATAAAACCATATTGATTTTTTCTACCCCACCGGTGCAGCACCAAAGTTTCCATAGAAAAAAAACAATTATTAAATTTCAACCTGACACTGACATTTAAAAAGATCAGAACCAAGATCGTTCAAGAGACACTAGTTAGTTTATTTTGCTTTTCTCGGCATGTTAGCATGTACTGCGAGGGGTCTAATCAGCCTCATTAACTCGAGTTGAAATAAAGTTACTTACTTTTACTTTACTACCATTTAGCTAGTTTACATGGAGGATTGACGAAAGATTCTTAGAGCAAGTAATATTAACGCAAAAGTTTAACAACAGCTTAATGTAGAGTTTTTGCTTGCATTGTTTTTTCCACGTTCCTTACAGCTTTCTTGAATGTTTTATTTGTTGTTAGGAAGAAACTGAGCCAAGCGGTCTTGATTACTGTCGGTTGATTGAGGCTTATGGCAGATGTCCCGATAAAGGCATACGCGGAGGATTAACAGACGAGGTTTGAAAAAAGTTTATTTTGAAATTTGTTGTTGGTACCGTAAAGGCGAGAGTGGGATCCATAGTCATGTCCAAGAGGAGTGGCACTACGCTTAGTAGTATTAGACCACTTGTGCACGAAACACCGGGAATGCACAAGGGGATCCATTTGAGCCAGTCCGCGCCAATTTCCCGTGCAAAATTTTAAAGGGAAACAAAGAAACAACCGCTGTCACACAAAATATGAGAGAAAATTGAAAATTTCTCACAAATCATTCTTAAGCGAGGAAATAGAAAACTCAAGACTTCGCGCACTGACCATCTCCGTAGAGATTTTCTCAGGCAGACGTTTCGAGCGTTAGCCCTTCCTAGCTCTGACAAATTATATTTTAACACCCTATTTTGTTATTTAGTACACTGTTTCTTTTGAACTGCTTTTTTAGGTCTTTTAAATTATTTTATCTAGTATGCATAAGGTGATCATGTTTATTTATTTTGTTTTTTGCAGAAAGCAATAAAGAAGATCAAGGATTTGTACGGGGAACTCTCTTTCAAAGCGGTGAAGTGAGTATATGTAATCCAAGTATGGCGCTGTTCTCCGTCTCTCTCTTTCTCTTTCAAGATCTGAGTATCACTGTTATTATGCCAGCCTCGTGCATCTTATGTTTAATACAAAAATAGCCCCTTGATTCTTCAAGGCTCATTTCTGACCTAAAATACATGTAGCATAGTGACACTTGCTCATTTTATCTGTAACCAACCAATTATTCAAAAAAATATATATCTATAAATGAGCTTAACAATAGATTCCATCATCAGTGGAATCACAGATGACGTCAGTGGATCACAGATTACGTCAGTAGATCACAGATGACGTCAAAATAGTGAGAGAACAAAAGTTGCACGCCAAGCGTAGCCAAGTTTGAACAATGTTCTTACCATATTGTGACGTTATCTGTGTTCTTACTACTGTACAGACCCACGGAAACATGGGACTAATCTGTGTTACATGATGAAAAAAGGCAAAATGTTAATGTTTAAGTCATCTGCGCTTCTACCCTTCAATCCATCATCAGTGAGAAGCAATCAAAATGCGTGTATAATCTAGTGAGGTTTTCTTTTTGTTCCCCTCTCTCACTTAATGTAGATTGACAAAGTTTGCCAAGGGTGTTGTTTACACCGCTTTCCTGAGATCGGGTGATGTAGAGCAAGCAGAGGAAATCAAATCGTACGTAAACTGAAGTGTCCAGTAAGAATCTTGCTGACTAATTTGTAATTTGGTGTCAAAAGTAAATCAGGGTTATATTCGTTTTGCTTTACGTTGCTCTCTGGTTTGTATAACAATCTCGTGCCTCCCTCTCCGTCAGTTTATAGAGCACAGCGGTCGAACGTCGGGCATGCGCGCGCCAATTTCCAGCGCAAAATTTAAAAGGAAAACATAAGGAATTACCGCTGTTCGGAAAAGTAGGCGAAAGATAATTGAAACGTTCATAGAAATCTGTTATAGGAAAAAATTAGTAAGGAAAGGGAAAACTCGTGATGATTTGAACACAGACTTTACTGAAGTGCAGGTATCCTGTTGTTGTACTGTTTTGTTCTGAGCTTTACCAACAGTTGTGCGCTTCCAAAACACACTGACTCCCTTGTGTGTGTGTGGTTGTTTGCAACTCTTGGGAGAAAACTTGGCTCTGACAGCCTGAAAGGACGCCACCTAGGCATTAGAAGGTTCGCGCATGTGCAGACGTCTGACCGCTGTGTTTCCATTGTCCTCTTAGGGCTCAGATTGTTGGTGGTGATAAATGATCACGTTGTAAAATTTGAGTTCGCGTTTGAGTTCGCCCTTAATCTGAGATGTTCCTTTGTGGCATGCTCTGTTTTTTTTCCTTCTTTTTTTGTCTCTGACAGTATTCATGGTGAGGGGTACCCCGTGTTCCTTGTTACAAATGAATTTATGAAAGCATATGCAGAACGCGGAGATGTGAAAAGTAAGCCTTTTACTTGTGAGCGTACATTTAAAATGTGTGAAAGCGGTGGTCGATTGCTCTTTCAACAGTTGACATTGCAGAGGGGCACTGGGTCTGACTCCAGAGCCTGAACCATTTCTTAAATGTCTTCTGCAACTGGTTACTTTTTAAGCCTGAAGCGCTATCAAGCCTTTAGCTGTCCGGTTTTCCTTTCCTTTACAAAAACCAGCAATTTTTTTTTATTGAATACTTATGCAATTAGACAGTTTTGCAATTCTTAGAGTGTAACGGGTAATTTATGATACCACAGTGGCCTTCATGTACACTGTATGATGGTCGCTGACAAGTTCTTTGCTGTCTTTACCGTTTCTGTTGGACCCCGTATTTGCATTCACATTCAAATCGTTTTTGGCACATGTTTACTTGGGCGGAAGGTCGAGGGTTCAAGCCACGTCTCCTTCATTTTGACGTTAAAGAACCCACGCACTTCTAGAAAGGTGTAGCTACCGGTGTTGTGGTCTGGCCTTGTCATTGTTTATAAAAGCCACCATTTAAACCAATGTTAAAGCTGGGCTGGGTTAGCGTGTCTAAATATCGTGAATAAGTAAATAAAGAAAGGAAATGAATTAATAAATATATCGATTGAGGGTTGGATTTGAAAGCAGTTATTCTAGGGTAACGAGCCATTTTTGTTGTGGGGCCTAAAAAAGCTTATTGCCTTCTGAAATATCTATGAGAACAGATTCCATTTGATGAGGAAAATGTTCAATGTATGCTCTTTCAGAAACGCTGGAGTACTTTGAAAGGGTAAAGGAAATATCCACAAAAAAAGATCTGCCTCCATTTGTCTACAATCAACTCGTGTATTGCTACAGACTTCATGGTAAGTGACCTTTCGATGTTATGAAAGAATATTTCTTTTTTTACTGTAGAGAACGACGGGACGGGGTAGGGCTTGCTTGAATTTGAGAGTAGAAACCCCTTCTTCCCCCCCCCTCCCTCCCTTTTTTTGCAGGTTTTCGAAATTGATCCGAGGCTATGACTTAACTATTTGCGAAGGCCAATATTATTTCCATCATCAACTCAGTTGTCATGCGCAGATTATCTTGTAATACCCCCTCCCCTCCCCCCCACAGAAGCAACTCCACAGTTTCTTTAAAAACTTACCCCTTCATGACTCATTTGGTTTGTAAGGTTTCTGGTTTAATTTTTCCAAGGTGATACAGATTCTCAGATGAAGGTGCTGGCGGAAATGGAGGAAAAGGGAGTGCGAAAACTTCCGAAAACCTTCTCCTCGGTTATGTTCTCTTTCTGCCAGAAGTGAGTATGCTCGTGTTGGCCTCTTCAGTTTTTGTTTGTTTGGTTGTTTCCATGCGCATTCATTCGCAGTGTATCTGCAGAGTGCACATGCTTGAAGGGATCAGCAGGTCAAACAATAGATTGGAATTTTTTTGTTAATTCTAAAGCATATTTCGTAATGGTGTGTTTATACCGTTTAGTTAAGGAGGCTTGATGGGGCTCGTATCTAAGACGCCTGGTACTGTAGCTTGGGAGTTGACTCTGGTAGCATCAGATAAAATTCCGATGGAGTGTCGTAAAAACTAAACGTAGATTAACCCTCTAAACCCTTAGAGTCACTAGCATCTAATTTCTTCTACAATATCACTCCTGAATCACATATTAAGGTCATGAGAATAAAGGAAATGATCACCAGGGAAGGAACCTTTTGATTGGCAAACAAATTCTCCTTGTCAGCACCTTAGGAAATGTATAAAGAACAGTGTGGAGAATATGCATACTGATCTTAGGGCGTAAAGGGTTGACGCAACAGCCATCAGAGAGGAAAATATCAAAAGGAGCTAATGAGAACTCAAGGAAAAAAATGTTGAATTATCAAAAGCGCGGGAAAACGCGAGTGGTCAAGTCATGGTTGGTTCTAGTTTTAAATCTGATTGGTTGAGAAAGGCGCCAGTGTTCTGGGCCAGTCACAGAGCGTGTCAAAGTAGGAGCAAAGAAGTCCTGGGTAACTTTCAACTCAGGTGAAAATTGTTTCAATGAAGGGTGCTTGCTCTCCTGTTTGTGTCATACTTACTCGTGACCTTAAAAAAAATTAAATTTATCTTTATTTCTGTGGCTCTTGATTTCATTTCTTGCGTTCATTTTATGATTTCAGGAAGATGTTAAATTTCAGTAGCTTGTAGAAAATTTTGCATCGGTCACTATCGTGTTTGAACTTTTCTTCCCACAGGGGTGATGTCAAGTCTGCATTAGAAATATTTGGACAGGCCAAGGAAGAGGGTCCTTTTGTTTCACAGGGCAGTGCCCTGAGGCTGTTAAACACCATGGCCAAAACGGGTCAAACAGAAAAATTTGATAGTGGTATGTTAGCTATTCAACGTTGATCTCCACCATCACAAAATGTAGAATAGAATTTCACTACTTATCACGTTCAGGGAGTTAAAGGAACAACCTGATCATAATTTGAAAACTTTCTTCCACTTAGCAAATATTTCGTTTATTGGTACCGCCATTTTGAAAACAAACAAACAAACAAACAAAACAGCTGAGTAACCTGGCCACTGCTGAAGGTATTGGAGTGAGAAATGGCTTCATGTAAAGCGCCTAATTATTCATACAGATCGACAAGAAGTTTCATTAAAAGGATAATGACTTGGTTACGTCATAGGAAATCTGCAAGGCTTCTAAGGAAGAAAAGCAACGATGATGATGATAATTTCAGGAGGATTTTGATAGAACATTATTGTTATTATTATTATTATGGCAGTATAAAACATCTGGATGCCCAGGTCGTAAGCACGATGGTTGGACAGCGTGAGCCGTAGCCAACTCCGTGACGAAGACTAAAACCAATATAATAAAAATTTACTAAAACCTAAATTGTTAAAGATATGTAGACCCAATAGGATTCTTACTTATGAAAATGGGAAGAAGTTCCCATGACTGGAGCGTTCAAAATTAACCTTTTAAGCTATTATTATCGTTATCATAAGATTTATTATTATTATTATTATTATTATTATTATTGTTATTACTATTATTATTATTATTATTATTATTATTATTATTATCATAATTATTATTACTAACATTTTTGTAATTTTATTGAAATTATTGTTGTTGATTTATTCAGTTTTGGAAGACTGTCTTCACCATTCTGTGAAAGCAGTTGAAATTCCCACCGAAGCCCGAGAAATGATCAGAGGCCTAGTATTTGCTTGCGTGCATGCTGGAAAGACGGATCTTGCCTTGAAACTCATGCTGGTGAGTTTTTCGTTTCACTTTGTCATTCTCTGAGATGATCTCTCAATATCAATCACTTAACTTTGGCTACGCCCTGGGTGAAGATTGATGGGTATTAGTAGGAGGACTGTCCTTGTTCTTCCTAGTTGGAAAGAGATGAAAGGGACTCGGAGAAAAAATCTCAGCCCGGCAATGGACGTTTTAACCACCAAAACCCCAGGGCCCGGTTGTTCAAAACTGCGATTAGCGCTAATCCACGAATAAATAGGCTAATCGCCGATTAAATTTAAGTCGCCGATTAGTTTCTGTTGTTCAAAGCCCGATTATTCCTAACCTTCGATCAAACCAAGGGTTAAATCTAACCCTGCTCGCTAGGTGGATTAAATCCTTAATCGGCAGATTAAAAAATAAAAATCACAACATGGCTGACTTGTTGTATGGTTGTGTTGGTGTTGATGGGCGAAGAAAAAGGAAGCAAAGAGAGTTTAGGAGCATCGGTTTCACGATAGATGGATATACAGACGAAGAATTAAGAGCAAGGCAGACTTTTCGGGCGCCATTTGTTTTTTTGTTTACATGGGAGTACATGTGAAAGAAAATAAGAAAGAAACAAAAGTCTTAAGTCCGTTAATTTTCACTTTGCTTTGTGTTTGTTTGCGAAGTATACATTTTATGCAAGGTATGGACATTGAGAGGTATTACAATAATGTTTCCATTTATAAACTTACCTGTTTCAAACCCCTGTAACCCAGTAAATGACGGTGTGTCACTGAACATGTTTATTATTTTTAAACTGGCTTCTGATGGGTTCGGGGGAGCAGGGCCACCACCTGTCTTCTTCTGTTCACTTTTAAAGGAACTGAATTCTCTTTTTGCGTGACTCTGGAGGTTTTTCCACTTGTCTCGTACTTCCTGCGTTGATCTTGCTGTCACACCGACGGCGTTTACCGCCTCCGAGATTTCTTCCCAAATCTTGTTTTTTTTTGCATTTGTTATACTGTTGATAAATTTACTTTGAAGAATGTCCATATTTTCTTCAAATTTTTCCGTTAAAACGGAAATTTCAGCGGGTGAAAAGTTTGCTTTCCGCACTTTCTTCGCTGGAGAAGCCATATTGACAAAAAAAAATAAATTTCCGGCAATTTTATGACGTAAACTGGCACAAAATAAATTATTATTAATTAATATAATTCATTTTATGCTTAATCGCGGATTAGTAAATCGACCGAGTAATCTCCCTTTGAACAACCGTTTTTTAACCAACGATTAACTAACCCACGATTAAGAAATTTAATCGCCGATTAGGCCTAATCGGTGATTAGTTTAATCGCGGTTTTGAACAACCGGGCCCAGCCTTTCAGGTCCTTTTAATCTTTTTTTACAATTTCCTAGTTGTCCTCTGAAAAATAGCAGAATGAATTCACGAATGAATAGCAGAATGAATTGCGTAGTCTGAGAACAAGCGCGATCAAGCGCTGTGTTAAATGTCCTCGTTTCTATTTCAAGCACAATGCTACCTTTCCACGTCATGCTGATGAAAAGATCTTGAGCCTTGAGAGACGTTCAACATGCAGAACTCCTCGCGAACCTCAGAGCAGAAATTGAAATAGAACTCCAGTTCTTAATCAATTTTATCCTTGTCATCGCTGTCTTGGTCTCTCAAACCCATGAATTTACTTTTTTTCTGTAGGAAAATGATGTGTTCCTGAATGCAAACACACTTTTGAAACCTGCGAGATCCGCCGGCTGGAAAGGAGAGGTAAACATCCTGCATGCCCTCACAATTAAGGTAGACGTTCGTAAACCATGGGCTGGAAGCGGCTTAAAATTATGCGCAAACTTTTTAATTCTGCTCAGTTTAAAAGTTCAAGATAACAGCTTTTAAGAGCACCTGAATCTCCCCACAACAACAGGTAGAACTTGATTAAAAGTAAAGGGTTATCGAACGTCGGGACACAAAATTTTAATGGATCAAATTCCTCAAGGGCAAACAATCATAATAGGCACACTGTTGACAGACAGTGCTAAGGCTGCAGAATTTCTCTCATGTTGAACTGTTACCTCAAGGGAATTGTTCAGGGCCGGGTCGTTCAAAGCTGGGTTAAGATAACCCAGGGTTAGTGTGAAATTTGATTCAGATCTGGAAGCTTTAAAAGAAAATTCAATTTAAATCTTTGGATCAATATCAGTATCTGGGCAATTTACCACCGACCCCTCCCCTAACCCAACAATAATCAATTGATAACAAGTTAAGGTTGATGTTGGGTCAGGGGAGGGGTAGGCGGGCAGTTGCCCAGTTACTGATATTGATCCAAATCTTTTTCTTACAATTTGATGACTGAATGTTCTCAAAAGAGTAGAGAAAAATTTCTCAAAAAGGTTTTTAAACTAAGAAATAAAGAAACTTGGACTGAAATTTAACCCTTAGTTATCGCTAATCAGCCTTCCTACAACCAAACCCAGAGGATTTTAACCGTTGTGCTGGCATTGTGCTTGATGTTCTGAAGTCAACAGAAGTTCTGTCGTTTTAATGATCTGATTTGTTAGGTGCAAGCTCTGTTGAACGCCATAGAATTTTTGAAGGAAAACAACGTCAGCCCCAAAGAGATGTATTTTCATCTGATAAGGGCTCATGGTGAGTGAAAAGAACATTGATTTCTATTAGTGTTCACTAAATGAATTCCCCGTACAATTTTAAACAATGTCTGGCAAACCAGTTATGAGAATTTTAAAAAAATCTGAACTAGGAGGTATGGCCCTAACTTAACGCAAAGTGTTTGATGGTCGGCAAAAATGGCATGTATGGTTATTTTTTGAGGAGATTTGAGCCTCATACCTGGGCAGTGGAAGGATTAAGTCGAGTTTCCAGTTGCCTTTTATTTGGCTCATGGAACAGTTTTTATTTTGGTATTAACCCTTTCACTCCCAAGATCTCATTAGTAATGTTATTTACTGTCTAACATACAATTCTTATGATGTTAGTTTGGGGAATTTGATATTGGATCAAGTAATAATCCCATAATTGATATTTTTCTTTATTCTCATACCTACCTGCCTGATATTGTATCGATGTTGTTAGGAGAAATTCTGTCTTGGTTACCTGGGGGAGTAAAGGGTTAAATTATATTTTTCATAGTTTGTTCGGTAAGGAGATGGAGGTCAATTTAATACATGCGAAAAGGATATATCAATTATAAACTTCGAGGAAAGTGACCTTTAGCTTGTGAAACAGTTTCATTTAAAGAAGTGATAAGCATTGCCCAAAAAGTGTTTCTCGCAAGAGTGTAAACCAGGCTCAACGGTGTCCCCCTCTGAAATCCTGGGCGTCAAATTTGATGGTCAACATCTCAACAGGTAACAAAAAAGACAGCCTATTAAATCCGCTCTTAGGAACTCTAGGCACTGTGATTGGTAAATTGAGGAGGATTTGTGCTGTTGTACAGCTTGCTAAACATTTAGGACTGTTTTAAATGCCAAAATCTCTCGTTATTAATTTTAGCCAAAAATCGTTTCATGCGCTTCTTGTGGTAGTCATGAATCTAGGAAAAGGTATTTTTAAACAAGTCTCGCTCTGCATGTTCACTAAAGACGCGTTGCGTGCCTATCTTATTTTAGACTTCCACCGTGACGTGGACGCTATCAAGGCAGTGTACAATGAGGTGGTTGAAGAAGGAATGGAGATGACTGCATATTTCCATGAGATGTATAATCATATTATGATCAAATATTCTGAGAGATTACCTTCCAGTGAATATAATCAAACAGCGTCAGCCACCCAGGTAAAAGATTACATTTTGTGTACTGAACTCTCTTGAGGTGCTCGTCATATCGAATTCGCACAGGAACTTTCTGGTTTCGTTTTTTCTGTCCGTTTGAAGGATCCCATGGTGGTCACACTAGTCTAACCTCGCCATGGTGGTCACACTAGTCTAACCTCGCCATGGTGGTCACACTAGTCTAACCTCGCCATGGTGGTCTCACTAGTCTAACCTCGCCACGGTGGTCTCACTAGTCTAACCTCGCCATGGTGGTCACACTAGTCTAACCTCGCTATGGTGGTCTCGCTAGTCTAACCTCACCATGGCGGTCACACTAGTCTAACCTCGCCATGGTGGTCACTATAGTCTAACCTCGCCATGGCGGTCACACTAGTCTAACCTCGCCATGGTGGTCACACTAGTCTAACAAACATGGTGGTCTTAAAGATACAGGGCTTCAAAACTGAATTTCTCTAACGCAGATGTTTTTGTCACTAGACTGAAATTGATGTGGATGACGAATCTGACTTTTCAAGTGACGAAGAAGGAGCCCATATTCAGGAGTTTGAGAGGGTAAGCAACAAATATATTAAAAGAAGGAACTCATAGATTGATGAACGCGAATAAAAACCGCTGGCTGCCTTGCGCTCAGTTTGAAGTAGCATACTTTTATTTAAGATCAGATCGTTTTGCTCATGGGTTAGGCACTTCACATCTCAATATGCCTTCGTCTAAGCAGAGGTATAAATGTGTGGCAATGAACTATCAGGTAAACCTGAAAGAATGCAGGAAGGTAAATATTTAAATCTCAGTAACATGCCTTTGTTGTTGTTTTTAGGAAACACCCGACTCTGAAGACTCTAATAAAGACAATGTCGAGGTAAATCTGTTTCCATAATCTCTTTATTGATTCAACCCTTTGAATCCTAAGTGTGACTACCATCTAATTTCTTCTTACAATATCACCCCGTCAAAAGTAACTTTTTTAACTTCATTTTTTCAGATGAATGACCCCAAGTGATTTTGGACGAGCAATGGAATTTTCAGGATCGTCTGACCGCTAGATGCTGAAAAAAAGCCTTCATCTTGCCCAAAAGTTTTGAAGACGTCCTTTGACGAGTTACCTGTCTTTTTCATCGAACTTCAAAAGGCTCAGTGTTAAAAGCGGTTACTGCTAATTCTGGGCTACGCAAAGAAAGTATTACTTTGAGGACTTCACTCTTACAGGACTTCGTTTTAATACACTAACTTTTGCCTTAGTTGTGTGGGAATATTTTTTTAAGCCAACACACAAATGGACACTTGTAGTATTTGCGTTTCAGAGCCCCAGTAATTAAATTATTTTGATTAAAAAGCAGAATGAACATATTGTTGTAGGGCTTGCTAGTTATCGTCTTTGCATCAAATTGAACTTTCACTACCAAGTGCTATGAAGGGGCTGTGATGCAGTAGTTACAGCGCATACGTAACGAAGTCTTTTATCAGCTGTGCGTTCAATATAAATGTTACCCCTTCTGTATTGAAAAAGCAATAAAGCGCTTTTAAATAAAGTGATAAGTGCTTCTTATATTATTTTTTGTCCACGCCAAACGCATCGGTTAATCATGGAGCTTATTAGATTAAATACCATGAAAGGAGAGGTATACACCAGAGACCTCTTTTAAACCCTCAGTCCCTTACATCAGCATGCATATTCTCCATACCGCTCGTTAAACATTTCCTATGGTGCCGACAAGGAGAATTTATCTAAAAATCGACAAATTATTAAGGTGGTGATCATTTCCATTATTCTCAATACTTATGTGTTCGGTGAAGCAATCAGTGATACTTTACGGAGTAACTAGATGCCAATCACAATTTTCCAAAGTCTTGTTAGGCAGTCAGTACCATAATTCCATTCTTACATTTTAACGGCGGAGATAAAAATCCTATGGTTTTAAAAGCTTACTTCTCTTAAACAAAGTTAATCAGTGAAACTGTGGCACTCACTAAAACAGGTCACTAGGGAAAAAAGATAAGGAGCAGTCTTCCTGTCAAAAGGCACGCATTGAGCCTGAGGCTCACGCTAACAATTTTACTTTTCATGCCTTTAAGGTTCTGATTTGAATAGATGATTTTGAGGTACAAACTGCTGCATTGGTTAAGTGCCTAGAGTAGTAATTGTATTTCTTGATGAAATTTGGTGTGCATATATTTTGAGCTAGAGCTTCCAGCTTTGATCGGTTGAAACTTCTCGGATGTAATTTGAATTTAATTTGGGGTGATAAATGATATGCATATCAGTTGAAATTATATTCTATTGAGCGTGAATTATAATTTCAGTCTGGGAAAATGAAGCAAAATTGAAAGAAACGACGGTAAACTACCTTGCGATTGGAGTGTATACACGTGAACACAGTGAGTCAGTAAAACAATACGCCAGAATCGTATGGGCTTTTTTTTAACTTTTTCACTTTCGGCTTTTCTTGTTTCATGATTGTCCTCCGGCTGGAAATACTCGACGTCTTTTCTGATATTTTCTGTGAGTTAATTCAGTAACCTCTACTGTAACTGCATATAATGTGGATGTCTTCAAGAAAACTTGAGATAATACCTGGATCTCATTTCCATATCACAGAAACCAATTCCAAACAACAATCAAGTTTTCCCTTTAGTTGAAAAGTTGAGTTGATATTATCGGCTATATTAAAAAGTTCTAGATGGTATTTTCTCATGTTTGCCATTAATTGAATATACTGGAAGTTGGAGTTGTTGCAACATGTTAACATGAAACGCAACAATAAATTTTATTGATATGTAAAAAGTTTTCATTTGACTATCTACTGGCAAGTCTTTGTATTATATTTCAACCCAACCATTTTGCACAACTTGTAAACAACATTACAAAATAATTAATCAGGGGATGGAAAATTTGTGGCATATACGCCATGTTTGAAATGCCATGTCCATAATAAGCTAACAGGATTGAGGAGGGTGTATTTGGGAATAGGCTGTCTTGTCTGTATCATTAATTAGCTAATTGTTCCTGTTGGCAATGTTTTGATGAGGTTGAGCTGTCAGGGCAAAGGAACTGAGGATTTTAGTAGGCAGTGACATTTTTCAAACATGGAAACTATCAATGTGAAAGCCCTATTAATGTGCCTGGTAACTCACTCTTATTCTGATAAACTAGTTTTAAGAAGGATACAATATTTTATAATATAAATCTGATGCATAGGCTGTGCACAAAACTTTAATTTGACTTAAATTGTATAGCCAGTACCAATCCCTACAGATAATAAACTGTTAAGAGGATCAGAGGAAAAAATAATGTGCTATACATCTGCAAGATTTCATTTAATTACTTTAATTATATGAATATTAACTGATACTATAGCTAGGAGATCTAAGAATATTCAAAAAAGAAGAAAAATTGGTTGAAAAATTAGAATTCAGCATAGACCAGATAAACAAGATTCTTAGAAAAAGAAATTTGTACTGATGAAAACACTGAGCAAACTTTTTTACAACACCTGCCTGTACCTTTATGGCATGTAGTAAAGTCATTTGAGTTAGTCATAATCCCGAGTTTATATGTTGAAAACACATGCAGATTTCCTCTAAACCTGTCGTTCAAGCCTGAGATGACTTTGAAATTTTGATGCAAACCTCAAAAGGAGAACAAATAAATGTCAAGTTTCTATTTATTCAATTTTATTATATGTTGGCTTGTGAGGTATAATTGAGTCAAACATTCGTACAACGACAGATTTAAGAAATTTTCACAACCAATTTTAAGGTTAGCTTAAGTGGAACAGTCACCTTCATATACAAATTAGACCGAGTTTGTACAGATGATGTCCAAAGGAACTATCTGTGGTAAGAGAGCAGGCTTTCCTTTCTTCATTTAAAGAAATACTGAGGTAATATCATCTTTCCACAAGCTCCGTGGAAATTGAGAGTGAATGAGACTGATATAGTAACTATGTTATTTGGATAATTATCCAAAGGAGGATAAAAAGTAAGATATGGTCTGCACATCTCTCTTATTTTAATTTTTTGACCTATTAACTTTTGTGTTTTAATAATGTGGATGCCAATTAATTTAACTTTCATGGATCAAAATACAAAAAATGTTCTCTTCATCTACTGTATGTGCCCTTACCTTTACAGGGGAGGAAGCAGGTCAAAGTAAAAACTTGAATTAAAACGGGAGGGCCCCCATTAATTTCAGTCCTAATTAAAGGAGGATCCTTGCTTTTCCAGATTCCCACCCTTAAAACTCACATATCTTGTGACCATTTCCAGATATCAATGTTTAATTTGGGTATGGACATTGGCAAGAAACATCATGCATTAAGGAAAGCTTAAGCAAGAGTATTTAATGCAATCTAAATAATAATATTACATGTTACAATGTGGTAACTCACACATCAAAATTATATAAACACACAATTCCAAACAAAGGAAATCAGATTATTGACTCACCTAACTTCAACTTTTGAGGGTTTAAGGTACAGAGAAATAGATATGGTAAACAGTTACAATTAATACAAAGTTGAAATAATGTAAAAAGCAAGAACATAAATTCCTTAGCTTAATAGGTTAAAAAATTGAAATAAGAGAGTTGTACACAGCATATCTTACTTTTTATCGTCCTTTGGATAAAAGATATACATTACAATCATTAGACCCTATGCATCCTAGCAAAAAAAGGTCAATTAATTACCACCATAACTTCACCCAAATGTTAAAGCTTTTTCACAAATGCATTTTTCTTAAGTTATCTCACAACATATGACTGTACAGGTCATGTGGAAGGTTCCTGCATGGGGACTGACATTTCAATTACCCCAGCAAACTTTAATCATCAGAATTGCAAGCCAAGGTGTATTTACCAGGTGCTCAAGTTTCCAAATTAGTCACCAATTTGTTACAGTGGAGTTCACTCCTTTTGGAGGCTATCTTCAGCTTGATCATCCTGTTACATGTGAAAACATCAAATGTTACTCACATATTCAAATAATTACCTAAATGAAAATTTATAATTTTTTTTAATAACCTGCTTCCCTTAACCCTTTAACTCCCATGTGTGATCAAGACAAAATTTCTCCTTACAATATCAATACAACATCAAGCAGAAAAGTGATGAGAATAAACAAAAATACTAATTAGGGGATTAGTTGATCCAAAACCAAATTCTCAAAACTAACATCACGAGAACTATATGGCTGACAGTAAGGAGAACTACTAATGAGATATTGGGAATTAAAGGGTTAATTGTGCTCCAGAAATAGTAAATGGTATTGAAGAGAAAGGAAAAAAGCTCTTGAAACATTCTATGTTAAAAGAAACTTTGTTATGAATGTTAATTAGAATGGCAATCAAAACATCTGTGAAACTATAATAGCAATTACCTTTCCATGTAAACAAACCATAATGAAGCATCCCTTGCGAACTGAATTCCCAGTTTTCTGGGAATTCCTAGGAATTCTCAAAAATTCCCAATTATGCAAATGACCCTTGCAAACTGAATTCCCAGTTTTCTGGGAATTCCTAGGAATTCCTAGGAATTCTCAAAAATTCCCAACTATGCAAACTAACTCTGATTTAAAAAGCTTGGAACTACTGGGAATTTCTGGGAGAGGAAGACTCCAGTTTTGTGAGGACTTGGAATCCCTAAGAATTCCTAGGAACTCTCAGCTATACAAACTACCTATAATTTAAGAAGTGTTTAACTCTTGGGAATTTCTGGGAATTGAATTTTAGGCAATTTAAATACCCTGAGGTCCACATAAATTCTAAGAAATTCTCAATACCTTGAATGTGAAGGTTTTAAGAAAAGGAGCAATTTCAGAGGCTTAAAACTTTAGCTCACTAAAAGGTATGCTATACAAAACTTACCAAGAGATATACATACATGTATATGTTTATAACTTAAAGATCATGAAATTTATTATTCAAACTAAGTTTTAGCAAATCTTTACATTAATATGGATTTTCTCATGAACCAGCAGTCAGTTATGTTAAATGGAAATTGCCAATTAATATGATATGTACTCATATCACAGATTTGCTTTCTAACTTCAAAGGACTCTTGGATTCCATGATCAAAAAATATTTTTATTGTGATGCAAATTAATGTCTCATGTTCACTGATGTGCCAAAATCATCAAACATTCATTAGCTGTTCCTTGGTACACAACTTCCACAATAATTAACAATAATTACATTGTTATCTACACTTAAAGAACTTTGTTAGTTATCAACGTAAGTTACTTCCCTAACCTACATTACTGGTTGCCTTTGTTAGAAAACCTTGGAACAGTCAAGCTCAGTTACCTCAAACACTGTCAGAGACTTTTTGTTGACAATATTTTTAGTAGAAATTTCATGCCTTAGTCAAACAAATTCAACACCTAATTAATCTTTCTTTTTTCATGATTGTTGTTGCTGTTTTTTTTTTTCAGTTTTTTGCTCTGTTTTCGTGACTAATTGCTGTAATTTGTTTTGCTGTTTTCATTCTTACAAAACATTTTTGTAAGAGTTCCAATACTTGTGGATCATCCACACACTTTGCAAACATTTGGCATGCAGACAAGACAGAGGTTGTCAATGTCCCCATTGAGAAAAAACACCTTTTAAATGACGTCTTCAATTTCCTTTATTTGAAACTCTGATCTGAAAATATTTGTCAACAAGACTTGTTAGTAGTGAGAAGTACCAACCAAGTTTCCTTTCATAACTTAATTTCTTAAATGTCCCAATCACTGGATCTCCCAAAAAATATTACATCTTTTTATTTTTGGTGCAAAATACAAGTCATTCTTTATATAAAAATGAAAAGTGCAATTCACACTTCAATAATAACAGCTCTAAAGTTTACTTGTTGTTCTTCTCTGTCTGTCAGCTATCAACAAAATTGTTTCATACTTCGGACAGTGCATAACTATTTGTGGACCAGAGTTCCAACGCACCTCTGTAATCACATATAGTTACTTCTGTCTCTTGTACAAATGTTTCTCCTTTGTAAGACGCACTCTACTCTGTTGTCACTACTGCTTTAAGTTCAGTGGAAACGACTGACTGAGGAATCGAGATGGCGGTGTTGGAACGTGTTGCTGAACGCTTGCTACGGTCAAGCTTTGTAGATTTAGGTACTGGTACAATGGGATCATCTATGTATCTCTTATACTTCCTAATGTGGTATCCTTCTTTTATAAATATGAGGGTAAAAGACGATTTGTAGTCGCATTCAAAACTGTGATTGGCTTGTGCTATTTCTCACCTTTGCCATGAACACAACTCAAGTGAGTTTCGAGTCTTTGTTTCCTCGACAACTTTCGGCCACAAATCGTGCATTTGTAACACGATCGATTCTTGTCGATTATTTCTACAAAGAGTGAGCTCACATCATTATTTGTATCACCAAGGTATCCATCGTCTAGAAGTAGAGAACCGGTCGGAGAAGTCAGAATAAAGTTATACGCCTCTCCTTCTCCATCCATTAACTATGTCCTAACACTGCAATCGGCAAGCCAGCGGATTCACTTTGCTAGCCAATGACAAGTCCTAAAAGATCCACGTGATCATGCCCGTGATCGGAAACAAAGAAGACTCCATTTGGCGCTCATCTTTGAATGTACTTTTCATCGGTTGATCGTTTTTCTCAACTGTTTTGCTTAATATAACATTTCTAAAGATAGCTTTTATTGTGGTTCAATGGGAAAACGAGAACAGCGTGTGTGTTGTAAAAGAAAAGAAAGTCGTTGGCGCCGTGGAGTTAAAAGAAGGGACAACAGTTGACATATTGACTGGTAAAAACAAGGGTCGAGTGGTCATCTGTAAAGCTACGATTTTGAAAGTTTGTGGTGAGTAAAAATTGCGATATTTGTTACGTGATCAAAATCTTATAAAATAATAGATGTAGCGGGTTGAATTAAGCTTACATAACGCTCGGCGCAACTGAAACTAGAATAATTCTGAGAATCGAATCGGTCACTTGCATGCCGCAGTTTCTTAAGCTTATGCTTTACAATGAAATAAACCTATCAGTAAGGTTTCAAGATTCCTCTAGTCACGTTTGGGAACATTCAAGATTCATAATAGGAACTGTTATTAAACAAACCTTATTACATAAAGAAGCCCTCCTTGGTAAAAACAAAATAATGTATTCAGCCCTTTTTTAGTGAAATCTATGAGAGAGATGTACTAACTCCAATATAAAAGTCACTCAATATAACAGAGATTTCTCAATTTGAGAATCCAATGAATGCCCTTTTCCTCATAGCCATCTTAAAGGCCTGGTCTGAGCTTTAAATATATATATATATTTTTTTTTCAAATTCAGATGTCATGGAATCCAGATACAAAATGGTCAAGCTTCTTGTAGACAACCTCATTAAAGGCCAACTGATTGTGAGCCCAGGAAAAAAAATACAAATAGCAGCTAAGTTTGCACTTTAGGATAACTTCATTTTATTTTTTTGTTACAGTTACAACAAGATTTTAATCAAAAAATTAATTTTATTTGTCAGTAATTAACCCCTTCACTCCCAAGAGTGCTTGATTTTCAAATATAATTTAAGATATTGTATTTTATGGAAAAGAATCAACAGATTTTATTCACAATTTGTGTCAAACCAAATTTAAAGAATGGTTAGGAGTATTTCATATGAATAGCTTTAATTGAGGATTAATCCGTATGAAGTTTTCAAGAAAAGAAAAATAAATCAAATTCCATTCTAATATTACCACATGTTGATGTTAATAATTAATCAAAAATATTTTACATGTAAGCCTTAATTAAGCTTCTAAATAAATTTCATTGAATACTTGAATTTTAGCTGGGTTTTTTTTAATTTAAAGTATTTATTTTATATCATTGGCCTCAAATTTTTGCTTAAAATTCCCAGTAATTCTTAAACATTCCCTAAAAATTCCCAGAAATTCCTAGGAATTTTTTAGATTTACAGCTTTTCAGGGAAAGTCATTGGTTCTCTGAGTTGGAATTCGTAGGAATTCGTAGGAATTTCAAGTCCTGTTGGCTATAAACTTGGAATTTCTGTGAATTTCTAGGAATTTCTAGCTTTTTAGAACCAGAGTTTTTATGTTTGGGAATTCCTAGGAATTCCCAGTCCAAATTTACTGTGAAAATTCACACCTTTATTCCAAGGAAAAAATTCCTAGGAATTCCAAAAGCCATTTCACAAGGGATGGTATGATTTAATTTAATCTCACCCAGTTTTAATGTAGAATCAAAAATCGAAATTAACTTACTGGGAAAAATGAAAAAGCTCAATGTGTATTTCCTGCTTCTGTCTCTAAAAATCAACCACACCACCACTTCAGAGTGATTTTTTGGATTGTGTGTACTTTTTCTCATTGACATCTATTCTTAGTATCTATCTTTTACCAGCTGACATCTGAGAAGAATCAAGTCCATTCTGATAATTTGACACCTTGCAGGAAAACCCTAAAACTGATTACATTTTATTTGAATAAAGAACATGAAGGGCAATAAAGGAAATTAGCTAGCACAATCAAAGTTTCCCTTCATAAGTATTCTGTGATGTTTCTTCTATCATATGGTAAACTGAATTTACAGTTTACCTCATTTTACAGTCTTCTGTTCATTTGTTTGTTTGCTTTCCAGACAACATTATCTATTATTTCCAACAAATGTGAGGAGCATGCAAAATGTGTACAGTTATTAACACTTTAATCCCTGAGAGTGACTAGCATCTAATTTCTCTTTTCAATATCATCCCTGAATCAAGCATTAAGGTCATGAGAATAAAGGAGATGATGATCAACTGAAGAACCTCTTGATTGTTCAACAAATTCTCCTTGCCAGCACATTAAAAATGCATAGAGGATGGTATAGAGAATATGCATACTGATGTTAGGGTGTAAAGGGTTAAAGACATTGTGTAATCAGTTTCATATATGAAGAGTATTGCTTAAATATATAATTGTGCTAAGTGCAAGTGCCTAGTAAACATCATTCTATGGTCTTCTACTCCTCCACCCTGGAGGGTGCCTTGTATATACAAAAAATTGAAGTTCAGTGCCTTTAGTAGCTTTTTTGGCTACATTAAAGATCAACAAAGAACAACAGCCACACCATAAATATTTATAAAATTATACACCTCTACAATGGTTAAAGTACACACAACTGACATGTTTGAGTGAAGCATGTCAAGCAGTAAGGTATGATTGTCAATTTGCTCTTCATTGCTTGCAAACAGCTTATTTCTATCAGCTTTTAAAACTTCTGTATCCTCGCTTTCAAAGAAAAGCATTTCCCATGAACATTTAACCATTACAGACATAAGCTACTAGCAACAGGTTTTCCCATTATTTCATAACATCAGATTCTTATCACATTTTTTTGTTACACTTGAAAGGATAAGAAAATTTTAATCATCATAATAAGTGATATCCCCCATTTTCACCCTTTTACTCCCACTGGTGACCAAGACAGAATTTCTCCTTACACTATCAGTACAATATCAAGCAGACAAGTAATGAGAATACAGAAAATTATCAATTAGGAGATTATTGGTTGATCCAATTCCAAATTCTACAAAACAACATCACATAAATTGTATGGCAGACAGTAAGGAAGATTACTGATGAAATCTTGAGAGTTAAAGGGTTGCAACACATTTGGTAATCATATGTACCAGAAAGACAGTGAATAAATGTAACATACTCCAGGAAAGTGTTCCTATGTACAATGAAGTTTCAAACTCATCGAAATTAAGTTGACTTCATGATTCATATTTTAGTTAAAGAAATGTGTAACATCTCTTTACATGGTTGAAAAGAGAATGCTACTAAAATATGGCATATCTATTCACTGAGATTTTAATCATTAGCTGGCACACAGAGATATGAAAGGGGCTTTGTGAAAAAAACCAGGGCAAAAAAATTAAAGATTCAGGAGAAGCATACGACATCAACTAGTTTACTGATGTTCTCACCTGAATTCAATCTGGAAAGAGAGCTCTGCAACGCTTCCGTTTTATCTTCTCACACTTGAATCAAAACATAACTTTAATTATTTGCAGGAAGGTTAAGGAGGAAATCAAAGGAATGGATATATGTTACATAAAAAGAAATCCCTAAAAATAAAAATAAAGCAGAAGCATATTGCCAACATGTCTATGCTTCTGAATACAGCTATAACAGTTGTTTTTTACGCAATTATCTACATATGTAAACCTGTGCAATAAACGGTCGTAAAAGCAATTTTATTCTAACCTTCCTCCTTGAAGGGTGCCTTGTGTATCAAATATATCAAGTTCAGTACCTTCAGAGTCATAAGCCGGGCTTTGGGGCTACAAAATAATAAAATAATCAACGAGTTAGGCCAATTTATCGAAAGTCAATTAAGTATAGTTTCCTAAACTCGTATGGAAAGTTTAAAATGCGCTTCACTTTTGCTGCATATACGGATTTATCATTCTTAATTACATGATTAAATTCTGAGAGTGTGACTCTATTAATTAAAAAGAAAATATCCAAGCAGGTCACAGTAATGGTTCACAAACTGTAAACTGATGATGTGTTAACAAAACCTTCCTAAATTAAGGTGCCGATAAGAATTTATCGTTCATAATCACTTATGAAATTCCGAGATTTTGCTTAATGAATTCGACTGAAAATATCCAGAAAGGTTATAGAAACGGACTTTCAAAAACGGCTCTTGAAGTCGAAAAATGGAAACAACAATAATTTATGCTAGCCATGTGCCTACCAGCGTGCTCGTGAGCTCAAATTGTCAGGACACCGTTTAATTTCACGATTACAGCTCGGACGCTTCTGTTAAATGTGATGGCTACCAATTTCAGAGATTGATTCTTCAGTTTCCAGCATCAGGAAAAAAATTATCGTATCGCAAGCATGTTCATCATGCATAATATGTTGAACAAAGGGAAAGTGGCTCCACGTTTTGTATGTGGGACAAACCATTTCCTGAAGTTCGAACGAAAGCACGAAAACATAGCACTGAAAACTGAAAAGTACCTTGACTAAACAATGAAATTCACTTATCCAGCAGTAGTGCTAAATCCATTTTACGTGTGAGTTTGTTAACACCACCTATTTGCGGTCCGCAATTTAATTCTCAGATATTTGACGGGTTCTCACATGACCATATTGTTAAAATCAAATTACCGCCTCAAACTTAATGTAAACATGAACATCGCTGACTCAAGTCTCGTTTTATTTAAATTTGGGAAGGCCATTACTTCGTTCTTAGGGTAAAACAACACTTCTTTGACAAAGCGCGATACATACCCTGTACAGAGGTCAAAAGGGTTATATCAGCAAAGAAGTGAGTAAAGGAAACTTATTTTTGCGTAAGATCGTATCAGTCCTCTTGTCGTACGATAATTTCGTGATTGTTGCAAGCACGGAAAGAGGTCACGCACGCTTTAAGTACGTCAATATGTCAGCGTAGCGTCAAACTTTTTTTTCTTCGTTTATTCCTAATTCAGATAAGAGATCTACGTAAAAGTGTTGCTGCGACCACTTCCGTAATCATTCCTTATTTGGCTGCGACAATCGTGAATCAGAGACTAAGAACTCGCTTTCAAGATTGTGCCGGATGAAATTCATTACTTGTCTGGCAGTTATACACGCGTGATTTGAAGCGAACGACGTCAGCTCCGTCAGTAGCGCTAGAGCAAGGGTAGAAAAAGGTGAGTGGGATTAATAGTTTTTCAAAATCCGCCTAATAATCGCTCAACTCTGGTCATTTAAATATTTTGATATTTTTTTCACATACTAAGGTGTTTAAGTGAAGTTAACTTAACTATTAACTGAACTACCAAAATAGTCTTGGCGAGATTTCTTATCTCTTGGACTTATTAAGTATGCCAAGTAATACCTATGTAGTGGCTAAATGCCCAGCAGCCGAACATTTTCGACATTTCGTCCATTTCAGACCGTACCTGACGGTCGGTTATTCTAACGTGTATCCGGAGTTTATTTATCGAAACTAAGCCAAGGGTTTTTTCGGTGTCACAAAAGCCTGTATTTGCTGCGGTGCTATTTACGATCTCGAAAATTTATTCATCGACTAGTACACGCATTTCTGACACAAAAGAAGAATCGATAAAAAGTTTCTCAGCAGAATGCAGTGCTTCTAACCATATCAATTTGCATGTGCATGCAGATTTCAGTTTGATACACACCTTGTGCAGAGGTTGTATCAATCATCAACCAATAATCTGTTTACTCGAGTGGTAGAATGGTATGCAAATATGTTTTGATACATACCCTATAAAGAGGCCAAAAAGGTTGTATCAGCGAGCGAACATCAATCCGTCTGCTCATTTCTAATGACTCTTGTAAACTAAACCTTCATTAACGGGGATCGGTTTAGTTTTCGCCGAGCAATCATGAAACCCGTGCGAGAAACAAGGCGAGTAGACAGCGTGTATACTAAGACTATTTTCTTGTCCTGGGAAATTATTTCTCAGAGGCTGGTCATTAAGTTTGAGAACTTATTGACTAAACGTGAAGTTTTATATCTTTCGTACATGAGTTCTATTTAATTTTTTCGGGAAACCTTATGCTCGACTTTTTCATTTTTTGTTTTTTTTATTTGTATTTTTTTTTAATTTCATCTTTAGCAACATCGATGATGTATTTTTTCCTGGATTATTCGTTGTGCATATGCACGCATTTGTTATCAGCTCGAATTCTCCTTGCATTAACGTTTTTTTAATTATTTACTTGCCTTCCCCAACGCTCCCACCACCCCAAAAGCCTCCTAATTTATGCTAACGAGTAAACACCTTAGCTGTATCAGCGGTCCTTGACGGATTGTGCTTCCCTTTGTTCGCGACTTCGACAAGCACTTTCAAATGCTTTCTCTGATCTTAGGGCAGCTCAAGTTTTGCTCGCGATCTGTCTGTGATGCCCGACTATAAATTGATCAAAATCAATATCTGGAGTAGGGAGAATAAGGCTTATTTGGACGATAACATTATCACGTGCGTGGCTGTATCACAGGTCACGAACGTTGTATCAAAATCACTATTTTCTGCGCGCGCATCCACTTGTTTATTCCTTGAGCGTGTATGTGTGAATATTTATGTTAGGAATTATATTTAACAATTATTTGAATGGTTAGTTCATGGGAAAGAACATCATTTGGGCCACTAAGCTTGACTAACACGCTTTAAGATAAATCGGAATGTTCGATGTCATTGAACGGAGAGCTAGACGCAAACTATAGAACGCAACAGAACATCAAGGAAGTAAGAGGCTGACTTATTTTGTACGAGTGAGTTTTTTTATCAGTTAAAAAACCACCCAGTATTTTTGTGATTGTATTCATCGATAGATCTTCTCAGTGGAACGCAGTGATTAGCCAAAATATTTTCATCTTCATAGGAAGTTGTTATAATTATACTGTGAGTATAGTGTCTACCTATACACTGAGAAATTTGTTTCAAGGAAGTTGATTAGCATGTTATCTCCTCACTAAAAAAATAAGAGTTCTTCACAGTTTGTTTTTACAAAGTTTGAATATGGGTTGGTTTCTACACTGCGAAAAATTTAAGACTTCTTCATAGCTTACTGTTGAGAAGTTGTAATTTAATTTTGGTTGGTGAAATCTTGGATTTTAATTTGCAGTAATAAGATGGAGAACTTTCGACACGTACATGTAGAAGAAGATGTGTCAAGTAGCGACGAGTCTGATCCTAAAAGGCACATGAGTGATAACTCTGACTCAACACCCAAGAAAATATCAAAATTGAAAAATGTTGTGTTGCTATTGGACTGTGATGTGCGAAAAGAAAACGGTGAAGTCTACCTACCGGACGGTACAGAAATGGCTCGATTAAAGAAGCCCGAACGAGAGCAATTTAAAAAGAATATTAAGTTCACCAGGACCATGACAGAAGAGAATGTGGAGGAAGAGCTCCGCCGCCAATTCCCGATTTTAAGAAATTATGGAAGGTAAATTGTAATGGACTGTCAGATATTTATGCAGCTTAATGGTTCCGAGGCGGGAATGGGGTATGAACGGAAAATTGGTATTGGATCAACTAGTAATCCCCTTATTGACATTTTTGCTCATTCTTATCACATGTCTGGTTGATATTGTACTGATCACAATATTGTCTAGAGAAATTCTGTCTTGGTCACCCATGGGAGTTAAGGAAATTAAGGAACCATACAGCAAGAAGAAGGGATAGATTTGTGGGAAATTCTCCCAGATTATTTAGATCCTTCCAAATATGAATCTGGGGAAATCCATTTATCCTTTGAAATAATGGATAAACAGATTTTTTACAAATTTTAATGCGGTTCCTGTTTTCATTGTTATTTAAAGTAACAAGTATTTAAGATATCACAGACAGAAAAAATTATTTTCTTTCAATTTCCTGAAAATTTAATGTTATATTTATTAAAAAAAGATGTATCAACTCCTGAAAATTCTATTTTTGTATCTTTATTATCTTAAGAGATATAAAACAAAAGGTAATTTGAGGGTAGAACGGAAGGCATGAGATTGATGACACTTCATGTCAACTTTTTCTGGTCACTTAATAATTAATAATTTCAAAGCCACTGTAGATTTTCAAGGCACTGTACAGTTTCACACAGTCCCAAAATTTCTAGTCTAATTGTATTATTTCTTTCCAGAAGATGGAGAGATTGTTTTTGTAATTCAATTGTTGTTTTCAAGCTGTTAACGTTTCCAAAAGCTACAAGTCCTCTTCGCCGTTTTGGCAAGCAAAACAGCCATAAATGGCTTTCTTCAATGTAATTGGTTAACAGCCTTTACAGGCATGACATGGAAGCCCATTTATGTGAACAAATACAGATGCCTTGAAAAATTTCAAGTCACTTTTCTTGTGTAGTGTTTTGGCTCGAGTTCTGGACTTTGGAGAATTTATTTTTGGCTGGTGTTTGGTCAGTTTTTGTGAAATTTGGTGATAATGTTGGAAATATATTGAATCCCTAAAGGGTCTTCCGAATTTTTTAATATCTCCTTATTTCTTGAGACGCAGCATCCACATTGAAAACTTTTCTCAAAAGTGCTACTTTGAAGTTAAAAAAAAAGGGGCATTGAAACACAAATCCCAGACACCCCAATATGTACAGATCAATATGTGTATATCATAATACATGCCTATTTTTTAATAGGTGTTAAGCATTATCAGGTTAGAAAATCTGTACTGAGTCACTGAAAAACCCATTATTGTTTTTTTTTTTCATTCAGGAGAGGGGGGAGAGGGCAGGTTTCTGCACAGTCCCTGTTTGTTAGTAGTATGTTAATGTTCAAATTAGGTCTAGCAGTTAAATATCCATAGCAGCTTACACTGATGGAGTGGTGCCCCTGTACTAACTTCAACCTACTATTGTATAATTGATGTTTTTTTTTCTGATTTTAGTTTTTCTTATGAATGTATTTATCATAACCACAAATTTTTAGATTAAGCTGTGCCTCAGCTGAAAATCGTGGAACAAGACTGGAGTTCCACTACAGCCCAAGTGCAGTGTGGGATGGAACCAAGATTAACAAGCATATTAGGGGGAATTCTGCCCTTTATGTACTCTTTGAGGTTTGAATTAAAAAAACGCTTTGCTCTATAGCTAGCTGTGCATATATATAGATTTTCTGAGTGATTCCATAATATTTTTTACATGATAGAATATTATGGTATTTCTTTTAATGGTATATTAGAATTAGCTTAAAAGTCTGCTCTCAAGCCAGGGGCATAAGCATTAAACAGAAAGGAGTAGTAGTACTCCCTCAGCTTGAGGAGCTAGTTCCTTGCAGGTTCTGCCCAATCATACTTCTTTCAAAAGAAACTTTTAGTTTTGATATATTGGTGCAGAAATCTCCTCCCTATTTAATGTGACAACTAAACCAGAAATTTTAGTTTTCAGAAGGATAAGTTTTTCTTAGTGATTCCAGAAAACATTCTTATACAACACTGGTTTGGGGGATATCTTGGAATTTTATGGAAAGGCTGAGAGTTACTGGTGTTTTCAAATTTTAAGTTAACAGCTCTAAGGAGAGGTAAACTATTGAGGCCAGATAAAAGTTATATAATTAGGTAATTGCACAGATTTGTTAGTTTATCTAGGTTATATATTTTCATTCTGACTAGAGAACTCCTGAAAGACCAGAGTCTCCACCAGTTGATAGTTCTCTACAACAACTGCAGACACCCACGCCTAAACCAATGGGTAAGCTCAAATACATGTACATGTGTATGTAGACTACAAAATGGCTGTAATTATTATTATTCAATTATTACACTGTTTTACAAGATAAAGGTAATTATAAATTAAACAAGCAAAATGTGTTAGAGCATTACACACTATATATATTTTCAAAAAAGTGCACGATAAAAGGGCTGCACATATCAATCCAAACTTTGATTTTCTCCATTTTTTATATGTTGCTATAATTTAATCTCTAAAGTAACAAAGTTTAAAGTGGAGAGGATTTTAATCGATGGGCACAAGGAACACTTCTGTGGTGTTCGGATGGCACGAGAAACGGAGATATATTCTTTGATTTCAACACAGAACTTTTAATATTTTCTAACATGTGTCGTCGCCATTACCGGAAGTGATCATACATCGAATCATGAACGGAAGCGAGGCTGAATTAATGTAAACGTAAATCGAATACAGCACATCTCCCCCTTTAAGATAATAAAAGAGAAACTACTTAGACATACTTGTTTCTTATCTAGCGTGAAATTCAAAATCAAAACAACGTCAATCAAATGTCCTCAAGTAATCGTCATTTTGTTAAGAAACACATCCTGGGTAGCTATTGTCGTTTGTCTCTGCACTAAGTCTCACACACACTAGAATACGCGTTCATAGTTTATACTTTCTGTCTGAGAAACCAGAGAAAATCTGGCCAGAAAGTATAACTTCACTTATGGCACATAATCCTTCAATCTAGATGAGGGCTTAGATTGACGGCCAGATCTGGTGTACACTTTTGATGTGCCAGTTCCTTCTGCAGTGTTAGCTGTTTGGGGTGAAGGAAGTTTAGGTGATGGAGGTACTGGCACCGGTGTGGGTTTGGCTGGAGATGTAGCTGCAGCTGGGGGTGGGGGTGGTATCTTGTTGATCTGTACTCTATTCCTTCTATATGACCCAGTGTCCGTATGGATCACATAAGAACGAGGTGTGCACTTCTCCACTACTATTCCAGACTGTCCTCTGTCTTGTACCATCACTTCATCTCCCTTCTCTAAGGGAACAAGAGGCCTCGCTGAATGCCTTCTGTCAAAGTGCAGCTTCTGTTTGGTTTTGTGATTGTCTTCAAACTGACGTAGGGCATGATTCTGCACAAGGTTTGGGGACAGCTGAGACGGGGCCACCGGCACTTTGGTTTTTAGCCTCCTTGACATCATTAGCTCAGCTGGAGAATAACCATTAGCCAATGGTGTCGCTCTATACTGTAGCAAAGCAAGATAAGGATCTTGAGAGCCAGCTAGGAGACGTTTAGCTGTTTGCACTGCTCTCTCTGCTTCACCGTTGCCTGAAGCATGACCTGGGCTGCTAGTGACATGTCGAAACCCGTAATCTAAAGTGAACATCTTAAATTCCCTTGATGTATAGTAGCTGGCATTGTCAGATTTTACTTGATCTGGAATTCCGAATCTGGAAAATGCACGTTTCATCCTGTCTATGACCTCTGCTGAGGCGGTTGAACTCAGGCTAGCTACCTCTATCCATCTGGAGTAGTAATCAATCATTACTAAATACAGTCTTTTATTGAGTTCATAGACATCAGTGGCTATGTATTGCCATGGTCGTTGTGGGAGCATGGTAGGAACTAGAGGTTCTGGAGGATTTTTCCTGTTAGACTGACACTTGCGACAGTTTTCAATTAACTCCTCTATATTCTTCATCATGCTTGGCCACCACACTGTGTTTCTGGCCAATGCCTTGCACTTGACAATCCCTTGGTGACCGTCGTGGATCTTATCCAGGACTTCCAATTTCATAGACGATGGTATAACGACTCGAGGTCCCATCATCAACAGCCCTTTAACCACTGTCAGCTCTGCTCTATGAGCAAAATAAGGGCTGACTAAACCCTTGACATTATGTTTTTCAGGCCAACCTTCAGCTACATAGTTCATAATTTGCCTGCATGCTTCATCCTCCTGTTGATGGATCATAATATCATCTAATTTGCTATCACTGATAGGCATTCCAGCTATGACTTGATGAGCATATAAGTTCACTTCCTGTGCTGGACCCCAGCACCATGCACTGTGAGAGCTCAAGAGTTCACGTAGAGGTTGTGTCATAGTAGCAAGGTTGGGTACAAACTTCATGAGCTGGTTCACTGTACCCATTAGACCTCTTACCTCACTCACATTCTCTGGAGCACGCATTTTCAATATAGCCTCAACCTTCTCTGGAGAGCTTTCCACACCATTAACTCCGATCCGATGACCTAGAAAGTCAATCTGGCTTTTGCTGAATTGGCACTTATCCTTATTCAAGGTGACACCTGCTGCTTTCAGCCGTGTTAATGTCTGTACGAGTCTCTCGTCATGTTCCTCCTGGTTCTTTCCGAACACGACAATGTCATCCATGAGACATACCACACCTTGTTGACCACCTAGTATTCGGTAGATCTCACTCTGAAACTTCTCAGGGCCAGATTTGATACCGAAGGGAATTCGCTTGTATCGAAATCGACCAAATGGTGAGATGAACGTGGTCAGTTTCCTTGAATCTTCATCCAAGCAGATTTGGTGGAAGCCCGCATTGGCATCCAGTTTAGAGAAAACCTTAGCACCTCCCATCAGAGCAATTGTATAATCCACTGTGGGGAGCACGATTCTTTCTCTCTTCACTACTTCGTTAAGCTTCGTGAGATCCACACAGATCCTCACTTTGCCATTTCCTTTAGGCACCACGACCATAGGAGAACACCATTCCGATGGTTCTGTGCACCGTTCTATAACATCTAGCTCGATAAGCTTGTCAAGTTCAGCTTTGGCTAGAGGAAGTAGTGGAATAGATATCCTCCTGGAAGTCATCACACTGTATGGCTCTGCGTTTTGCTCGATCTTAATCTTGTATTCTCCTTCTAGCTTTCCTAAGCCTTTGAACATTGATCCGAACTCCGCTGACTGGATAGGATCTGACGTAACTTTTCCAATGAACTTAACGACACCTAGATCTGCACAAGCGTCTCTACCTAGCAATAGAGAGCCTTTGGGGAACACATATATATCCTCTGTGATTGTCTGATCACCTTTCTTTAGTTCTGCAGTAAAGAATCCAAGAGTTGAAAGGTTGCTTTGATCTGGGCCACTAAGAGGCCTGTCAGGCTTCTGCAAAATGAAGTGTGAAAACTGTGTATCATACACAGCTTTGGAAATGACTGTCACATCTGCTCCAGTATCAACAGCAAATTTCAGGCTCTAACCTGACACCTGGACTTCCGTAAACCATGCACTCCTACGTTTCCTGTTGTTGATACTCTCAATAGAGTAACTTTCATCACTGATGCTTCCTAAGAAGTAGTACTCATCTGAGTCAGACTGCACTTCTGCTACCTCTTGTACAGACCCTTTTCCTTTACTACTCCTGCAGACCTTGCCCCAATGTCCTGGGCGTTTGCACTTGTTACATTTACTGTCTTTTGCAGGGCATCTTTCTCTGGGGTGCACCTCCTTTCCACACCACCGGCATGACCGGCTATTCGACGCCTGGGAGCAATTTGATGCACTTCTTTGCTGCCCGTTACTACGTGGTCCCTTGTCACGAGGGCCTCCTTTCCGCCTATGTTGAACTGCCTGCACTTTAGAAGTCTCTCCCTTTATATCCTGAGCCCACCTTCCAGAACATTCTTCTGCTCTACACTCATTTATCGCTTTTTCTAAAGTCAGTTCACCATCTCTCAACAGCCGTGCTCTGACCTTATCACTATTTATACCCAATACGATCTTATCTCTGACAAAATCGTCCTTTAGTTCACCGTAGGCACACGTAGACACGAGAGTGTTAATTTGTGATAAGAAATTATCGAAACTCTCACCTTCTGATTGCGTATACCTGTGAAACTTGTAACGTTCATAAGTAACATTTGTTTTCGGCGTGCAGAACCTCTGGAATTTCTCCAGAATTAATTCCGGATCCAGTTTGTCCTCTGCTGGTACATGTTCCTCCCCCTCGGGGTCACCTACAGCTGGAGCCCATGTGAAGCCATTGTAGATTTTCAGCGCCTCCTCACCTGCGAGATTTAGCAGTATAGCATTTCTCCTTTCCTTACTGGCAGTAGATAATCCAATGGCGTTCACATATAATTCGTACTGCTGCTTGAACAACTTGAAATTCTCACTTGCATTTCCCGATAGACAAAGAGCTTTCGGTGGTGGAAGATTCGTAGCCATATTTCCGCGTAATTCCTGATCACTGATCGCTAAATATCCGTTCTGGACACAGTTTATATCTTCTTGTTCACTTCTGACACCATGTGGTGTTCGGATGGCACGAGAAACGGAGATATATTCTTTGATTTCAACACAGAACTTTTAATATTTTCTAACATGTGTCGTCGCCATTACCGGAAGTGATCATACATCGAATCATGAACGGAAGCGAGGCTGAATTAATGTAAACGTAAATCGAATACAGCACAACTTCAGGGTACTTCATAAAATCAATGAGCTGCTCGAATCACTATGAGAAGTATTTTTGAAAACCAAATACTGAAATACTGGAAAATTAAATAGTAGTGGGAAAATAAATCCCTTATACATGGTTTAAATTAAAATTCAAGCTGACATTTTGCTCATTGCTTGTATTTTTCCTCTCCCCAACAGGGCTTGAAAACAAACTATGTCACTTGCAAAATTTCAGTGTATAAAATACCTGAAATCATTGATCTTCAAATATATAATTCCACAACTACTCCATTTTACCATATAAGGGCATCTGAATGCATGAAATATGCCTCTGACTGTATTACACCATAGAACAGGGCAAAAATATAGATGAAAGCAGACCAACAAAATAATCACTCATAACTATATATTAAAACATTTTTTTGTCATAATTAAGAACATTGCTGATATATATGCATTATGGTTTGGTGTTTTTTTATTTGTCTTTTGCACGTGCCAGATGCAACTACAGTTGAACTGTTGTTTTCTGGACTGGGTTCAATGGTACTGATAAGCAAGAGTTCAGATAATCAAATGTGAATATTATTGACAGAGGCAAAAAATAAAACTGAATATGTATCATTTTATCAATATTACACATTCAAGAAGTTATAAACATTCTCAACTCATTTCATGCCATTGTTTACAAATGCTAAAAGTATTCCAAAAGGGTTAAAGGTTGACAACAATGAACAATAACTAAAAATTGCTGACAGAAATAAATCAGTTTCTTTCAAGCTGTCACAATGTGGGTGTGTAATTGCTACCGGTCATTCTATAATGGAATAGTGTCGACATTGTTTCAGTACATTCTGCTTTATTTCATGGGAAAAAGTCATATGTTATGGATCTTGAATGTGACTACTTAATATTCCTGAAAAAATTGGGACCAAAGAAGTGCATCAGAGTCTGAGTAATCGAGATCCAGCTGTAGTCCTATTCTGAGATAATCCTCCCCTATAATGAATGAAGGATATAATTCAAAAGAAGTAACCTGCAAAACACTAGAAATTGGCTGAACAATTAGGGGAATCATTATGACAAATCTGATCCCATTGTTAGTGATTTTGGTCATCATGCAGATTATTAAAAGGAGAAGTTTAAATCTTGAAGATGAAATTGGGTTTCAGAATATATACTGTAGCTTCTTGTTGAAAGAATTCTCCTTCTTGTTTATAGATTCACCTCTGCCATGTTCAAGTAACCTTCAAAGATTGAAAAGAAAGCATGATTCCAGCTCTTCATGTGTACTAGAGGTAGTTCAAAATACTGGGGCAAGTGTGAAGAAGCAAGGTAAACAACATAAAAAATTAATCTGTGAAATATATGCTCCTTCTGCTGAAAATACTGTAAAAAATTAAAAAATTGCATAGATATCTAATGCATTAAAAAGGTACCTCTCTCTGATTAAATGTTTTCAGTTTGGATGATTAACCATGTAGTGTTTACTAATTTGACCACTGCTTGCATGTGATGACAAATTTTTTTAACTACTTTCATCCATTAAAAATAAATGACAGTCCATGTCTGTAGTAGTGACTCCAGGATTGGAAAGTGATTCATTACTAATGTTCCTGCAATACTTAAATTCATAGTGAAGTGCTAAAAAAATTTGAAAAAAAAATTAAACAATAATAAAAATTTTTCCTTAAAAAAGGCTATACAAGGTTATTAACCCTCTGTAAATTTTCTTTGAGGAATGTTTACATTTTGTTTGAAAAAAAAACTTTAATTGTTAATAGTACTGGAGGCTACAAGTTGCCCTAAAGGTAGCAAAGAAGGAGGGCAGCAATCTCATCAGGAGCAAGGAGATCACAGTGCCAGCCCAACCACAGGCCTCCTTTGCAATTCAGGTACTATTCAACAAACACAAAACCCACAAATTGGTGAGTTTAGTGAAAACTTACCTAAAAGTGGTGGGGAAGGAATTAAGATTGTGGTTAGGGTTGGGTGGAAGGAACACAAAGCAAAAAAAATTAGCCAAGCAAATTGAGCAAACTGAGCTTTTAATGGGAATTCCAACCTTTGCATTATTTGGTTTTAACCATGCCTAAATTTTTATTCATTTTCATGAGGAACAAAATTATTTTCTGATTTCTCCTACAATGAATAAATTAACCAGTTTGGTACAACTATGTCAAAAATTTACTGCTTAATTCACTTCTTTTAATAATCAAAGATGTTTTAAGTTCAGGAAATTACAACTTCACAGACTCTTTGATAGACTCTTTCTTGTCTGTAACACCTAACATCCAGGTTTAAAACAAAGTTCTGGGGAAGATCACTCTAAGGACTCCCAAGAAGTTAGTAAGGTACTTTTGATAATGATTTCAGTTGTTGTTTATTTTATCAGTGTATGTGCAGGTATTAGCATGAATTCAAGTGCAATTTGGAAAAAAAAGCAAGCTTGAATAATTTTTGTTAAGACCTAAAAAATTGCTCAAGTCTTTTTGGCTATAAACAAGACAGAAGATGGTGGTTTAAATACCTTATCTATAGATTCTACTTTATCAACACATTGTTTCCAGCAATTATTAAATGAGTATAAAATTCATGAAAGAACTGCATATTAAACTTTTTTTCTTTAAAGGGAGTGGTAGAATCATCACACTACTGTAATTTCTGTTCCTAAAGTTCTACGAATATAAATTCTCTTCTGCCATATTCTACAAAATATGTCTCTCAGACTTTGCAACATTTAATCCAAGTTTACTCCAATCTGCATGCCTGTATACTTTTACAAAATGTAAAATCTTTTTTCAATCACTTGTCTGCTTGTTATTTAATTTATACTGTAAGGAGAAGTTTAGGCTTGGTCACTCATGGCAGTTTCAAAGGGTAGATATAAGTATATGTTTCACTCTCTCCCTGCCAATTGGAAACAAATAGTATCAAGTGCAATAAAGGATCTGTATGCCTGACACTCTGCATTCTAAAACTATGATGGCATTAAATCCCTGCCAAAATTCAAATGTTAGAAGCAGTGGGCAGCCATAATATATGATTTTTACGCTGCAATCAACCCTGAAGATGGAGCACCATGTAGCATGCCCTGGGATGCCACATGGTGCTGCATTAATGCTGCATCATACTCAAAATACTTCTATTACTCAAAATACATTTAGTGTGACTCCCAATGTTTATGTTCAAACTGAATATTTAGGTTCAAGTACTACTCAATTTGTACATCCATGTTAAGTAATTCTGTTGTTCCCCTTACAACACATCATGCCATGTACACTAGCAAAGCATGCTGGTTAGGCTTGCAGTGGGCTTGTATGACTTTTGGTAGGTGTGACTGAGTCAGCTAAGTGTGAAGTTCAAATCAAAGCTTGAATTTTTAATTCAATACTCAAAATTTGAGCAAAGAATTTTAATTAATGACCAAGGACATCTTGAATGTTCAAGTGAAGAATTGAATGTTGGTGCAAATACTTAATTGTTGAAACAAATAGTTGAGTTTTGAAAAAAAAACATACTTGAATCTTTTTTGGTATGTTTGAACTTGGATTGATTTCAATAAGGTACGAGTTTAAGGCAAAGAAGGGCTTTTGTTCTGAAAAGTTCATTTTTAAATTGTTAACATTATGTTTAACAGAAAAAATGAATGATGAAAATAAAACTTGAATGTTGAAAATAATAGTTGAATGTTGAAAATAAATCAAATGTCTGCCCATATTCAGGTTCTTGTTTGGCAAGTCATTTTGTACGGGTAGTTCCTGCGTAATTTTTTGTTGCATGTATCAATAGTAGTTTACTTTAATTTGTGCTTTCTCTGTACTTACAGGTTAGGAGATCTGTTGAAAATAATAGCTCCTTGGACTCTGCGTATGAATCCACTTCTGGGGATGCATCTGGTGTTGATGACAACACTGAGCATTCAATAGGTAAAATGTAGTTAATGGCTGTTGTTGTAGCAGTATCAATTTCATTTGAATACCTGTCATTGCTCAATTAAGAAAAAAGGGGTAAGTGACAACTGAGGGAGGAAAAATTGATCTCAGATCTGTTCAGTACCAATTTTCCTAGAAAAATCATCATAATTATGACAACAAAAGCTCCAAATGGTTAAGCAGAAAGTCCTGAATGTCATCTTGTACTTTTGTTATTGTTACTAACTGAAATCCAACTATGGAAGTGACCCTCACAGTTTTGAACACTACTTAAGTCGTGTGATGAATAATTCTTTGAAATTTGTAAATAGAAGCTTTTAGAAATCACCAGAATATTTAGTCCTGCGGACATGCTGTTACAATAAATTTAAGGGCCAGTGGTTTATCTGCAAATTAGACTTCAGTCCCCTTGCATCTGCCATATATTGAAATTTTGGCGCGTAAAGAACAGTAATGTTATGCAGTTTGTTGTGCTATGATCATTTCTTTGCTGCATCTCGTGTACTCCTTCTATCAAAACCATCAGGTACATTTTGCATTGTCTTTTGCTGTTTGATGTTTCATTTGTGATTGTAATTATTGTTGTCAGTAGTTGGCTGTGGTGTGATTTAATTTAATCATGTTTCAGAAACCAATGGTTATGAATAAATTGTATGGTTTGTGTAACCGTTTTGAAATTTGACGGTGCATTTGCTACACATGTATATCATGGAACATTTTAGAACATTTCATCAAGTCATGCATATATTATGTAATAAGTACTCTGGAAGGTTTCAGAACACTTTGTGAAAATATATATATAAAGACTCAATTATGTAGTGGTAAGAGTTGTTGTTGTTTTTGAGAGTGACTGACTGTTTAGAAAGCTATACCATGAGAGAGAACTATAGTCTGTGGAAGATTGCTAATTCAAGAAACGTTGGAGGAAACTGTGAAAAAAACTGGTGGGCTTAATTAAGTTTATTAGCAATAAGGATTGTATTGCTTCTTGGAGTCGCTTCCTTGTTAAGAACATTAATTACGTGCTGTGTACTAATAAAAGTAGTTGAGTTTGTGGGATTGTAAAGTTATTCTGTTGTTTAGATTATACCATAACAGTAGTAGTGAAAATGAGGCCTGAAAAAAATTGAGTCCTGTACAGGATTTGAAACCATGACCTCTGCGACACTTGCACCAGTATCACAGAGGGTATGGGTCATGGGCTCAAATCCCACACAGGCCTTAAATTTTTTCCGGCCTCATTTTCATTTCTACTTATAAAGTAGTGTTCATAACTGTGAGTAATTAAAGCATGATATGACTGGTGCCTTCTATGCAGACTACAGTAACATTGGAGTTTTTTCATTGTTACTTTTTTTAAGGTTATTGATTGTATCATGTTGTTTACTTTTATTTGTCAGATAGTACCCTTCCTTTTTGAAGATTAATTGACTAAAGCTGCTCTTTAAATATTTTGTCTAATGAGTACTTGATGATGATAGCTGGTGTACATTCTTAAATGGTGTTTATTGCTTTGTGCATTACTTAGGAAAAACTGAGGAAGCAGCTAGTAGTCACATTAAATATCTTGAAGATTATTTGAAAGATTCTCAAATAGAGTAAGTCAAATTCAGTCTTTTTGTTTCTTGCTTCTCAAAGGAATCAAACTTAATTGTACAGCTGTTATGTACAGATCAATATGAAACCTCAACATCTTCCCCCTTATGGGCAACCCACAGACTTTTTACTGTCTTCAGTGCCCAGAGGGTGGTAGATTTGAACATAATAAGTTGCACAGCTGGGATGAGGAATTTGAGCCAGAAGTGTCAAGTCTTTCTAGTTGAATTAAGTGTTATTGCTTGAAATATGGAGATGGTTTTATAGGCAAATAGTTCACTTTTGAGAGTAAATGGCAAGGAAGATAAAGGTCTTTAAGGAGTAATTTTAAATCTTGGTTAATGTGCTGAAGGTCCTTAATGTTGCTGCATGATTTTGCCTTTTACCAAAAAAGTGGGGTGGGTCATTCGAACACTTCTTTTGCCCAGGGGGTTGGGAATTTGAACCAATCTTCAAGAGTTAAAATGCCTAAGGTATTACTTAATGGGGATTTTGAAGCTTCAAACCAATTGATGCATCACAACCAAACCTTTTGTATCAATGACATGAAGCCTCAAAAATTATCTATGCTAAAATTGGACATATTGAACTGTTCACAAATGTAAAACAAATTGTCATGTTATCAATTTAACATAAAAATAATTATGGGGTATAAGAGATCAATTTTGTTTACCTGACTGCACCAAAAATATATTTACAGTGCAACCTTTATTGTTTATCCTAACCCTTGATTACTATTTGAGATATTTTAAAAGCCAAATCTTGACATCATGCTTCGCATCATGCTTTTGAATTGATCACATGCAACCCTGTGCAAGTATTGGTGGTAACTGTAGAGAACGTTAATTAAACCAGTACTGCCTTTTTTGGTTGAAAATTTGCTGAAACTGTTGATCTGCATAAATTACCTGTAGCCCCACAGAAGGATCAAGCTTGGATGGTAAGCTAAAAATCTTTTTATTTATTAATTTTTAAATGCAACCATGTGCAATGTGTTTCACATCGCCTAATAATTGTGTCTATACTGTTTACCTGAAAGTCACCATCATTTCTGTAAACTGCACAATTTCAGAGTACTATTTTCCTTTAAAAGTAACACATTAGTACATTCAGAAATTTTAGCCAGGGAATCAAGTTTTAAAATTATTGATGATTATTCTGAAAAAAGTGCTTTTTTCCTAAAGAAAATTATTGTAGACAAGCAATAGAATGTTTTCATATTTAGTAAGTACTCTTCATGGTTTGCCTCTAATTTTGGTTGCTGTATAGCCCCTTGGGTGTATTTAAAGAAAAGGTTTTACCTTAAAAGAGCAGATTATAAGAACAATTTATGGGCAAAAGAAAACTTTTGCATTTCTTAACTTCTGAAGTTACCCTACCTAAGTTAATTACCTGCTTTTATAGAGTGCTAGCTTGCTTGTCATACAATTCTCTGGAGCTTTTGCATTCTGTTGATGGAATTTCTTATGGGTTATGGGAAATCTAAAAAGTCATTAAGGGGATCAAAGTTGCTCAACCAGCTCTGCACCAGATATTGTCTAAATTCTTATCAATACAATATACAGAGCTTAAAGGTTATTTATAAGCTAATTGTATGGCACAACTTCCTTTTTTTATTGATCATTTCATAGAAATCAGTTTGCATAGCGTTGCCCCTGGTGATCAGGTATGTTAAATGTTTAAGCTAAATTTCTTATCAATTATGTGATATTTACATATGACTTAGAAGTAGAGTTCAGTTTTTAAGCCTGTAATCATAGACATATTACTTCAGAAGAGTGATTATATTATTATGCTTACCATTGTACCATTTTCTTTTTATCTTGTTTCCTGAACAGATTCGCTTTTCTGATAGAGAGTGGAACGAGTTCTATCAAGACCTGGGAATCCCCTTGTTAAATTCGGGTAGTTATTGTTATCTTTTGTTTCTGTAATAAGCCATAAAATGAAAAGAACATGATGTTTGTAAATCTCTATTATCTCAACTTGATGGCTCAAAGGAAGAGTAATAATTGATTTGGAGGCTAAAGCAGACGGATCCTAAGCTTGGAGGCTTTATCTTTTTCTTAAAATTCCCCTCTATATCAGTGTTTGTGCTCCCCTCACACCCCCAAAACAATTGTAAGGTTAACCCCTTTTCTATTTAACCTGTCGCCTGTGGCTGGATTAAGTGAACATTGTGTGTCAGGGAAGGGGATCATGTTGAATCAACCAGAAATTTATCCCTCTTGTTCAGTGCCCCAAATATTTTGGCTCTACCAAAAGTTATTAAATTCATGTTAGCTAGTAATGTGATATTAGTGTTTCTTTTTTTTTTTTTTATCAGCATTCAAGGTGACGAAAATTTATATTTCCTTTAACTTTTTTCTCTTCCTTGCATGATTGCAGTGGTAAAAAAAATTATCCCCAAAGAAGGCCCCATTACGGTATTTGTCATTTTTTTTCTCATAATTTTTTAAATTCATAACTAAGAAAAAATAAGAATTTGACTCGCCAGTTGCTTAGGCAGAAAAGGCAAGGATCCTAAAGAAGACCTGGTAACTAAAGTGCATACTTGCTTTCAAAGAAAGAATCACCTACAATGACTTTAATTTCCTTGCTGTGATTTGAAATAAGCTAGTGAAAATAGCCTTTAAATACACCTTTGGACTCTTTTCGTGGCTCGCAGTAGGCAATTGAAACTTTTTTCCGACACATCACGGTATTCTGCTTTTTTTTTCGATTGTTCACCCTACTTGTTTTTCGTATTATGTTGATCTTTATCGCTGAATAGGGTGGTACAGAGTTTGTTATTTTCGTCAATGTGAATGGTATTCCAGAAAATCTCTCATCATTGAGGGCTATATTCGAGGGGGTTGGAGTTGCAGACTTGACACCATTTAATGAAAGTGCCTACACTGGGCTTAGTCCAGGTATGTTGATTTATAATGGTAATGGGACTGAGTGGAGTTCAATTCAGTCTGTAATCATATGAATGATTATGAAAATCGGACGACCGCGAAGCAGGAGTCCGACTTGTTAATCACGAAGTTCTGTTACCAATTAATCAAAACTATGAAAAAATTGAGAAATAAACTAGACATCGATTGTTCGTTTTCAGTAAAATAAACAGTTCACTCGGCGAAATGCGAGACAACAACGCGCGCACATGACGCGTTCTGTCCATTTACACAGACATGACGTGTTTCATGTCCCTTTAACTGTCCTATTACACTGTCCAATTACAAGTGTGACACGTACAATGTCTTATAGTGCTCAAATCGGGCTGGTGATAGCCAATCACATTCAAGAATTTTGTTATAGTTTTGATTATATCTGAAATTTGTGTTACATTTTGGTGTCAGAGTACATCAGCAGGCTACCGTAATTTCCGGCCGTTTACCCGCGGATAATCTGTTAATTTTGCATTAAACGCGCGCCACTGCGGGTAGTAGGAAGGTGCTGGTTATGTGACAATTTTAAAATCTACTAGTAGTTAAATTGAAAAGAATTATCACCAACATGCGTTTCCACCTCTCAATTGTTTTTTATTGTATTAAGAGTGCCACAAAGCGGCGCGAAACATGATGCCAACTCAAGTTTATTTCACGCATAATTAGTTGCGTGACGAACAAATTGCTATCGGCACGCGTGAAAACAAAACCTTGATGGTGACAAAAATAATCCAAAGATATCCGGCGCATCAGTAACAAATTTCCATTTAACACTAGCTTGAGCTAAAGAGAATTTTCCTGTTTCAAAGGACTTGTTAGGCCCAATAGAACCAGAGATATCTATTTTTTTCAGAAATCGCCGACAGTACTTTATAATTCAACTTTTAATACTCACCCAGCTTTTTTTCAACAAATCAACATGACGCTGAACGATCGCTCGCACAAAATGTGCCCACAAATTCGCATTTTGTCAAGTTTGAAACGTTGAGATTTGGGCATGGGCTGCTAGTGTCTTTACAATGCTAACATTGACACAGAATTGTGCACGCGTCTGAATTTCTTTGACCTTTAGACTCGACAAAGACGCTTTCAAGTTTTCGAAAGTCAGATCAGACAACTTTTAAAAGACTGAAATGTATCACCTTAATGTTGAAATAATAAAGTTGAATGACATAACGTGCGGGTTATCCACCAGTGCGGGTAATCGGCCGTACGGGTAAACGGCCGGAAATTCAAAATTGTGCCTGACGAAAGCCAAAGTTGTAAGTAGAGGGACAAAGCATCATTATCAGTAATCCTTTTCGCATACAGCTCTTTCAAGAAAGATGATCAAAAAAGGGACAAAAGTGCACGCAACAATCTCGTCATGTAATATCGGCATCCGATAATCAATGAAATCGAGTAAACAAATAAATTCGTCAAACCCGTGCTGTTTTGTCCTTACAGTGACGTTTTTCTCAGATTTCCTTGCAATTCTGAGGTTAAGGAACCGTGACCTGAAAGCTACCTACTGATTTTTCATTTCAGCCTCTAAAATTCTTGGGAAGGTTGCCGTTACCGTGGGTTCTCTAGACGGTTCGTGGAACTCGCCCGATAAAACGGAATTCGAATACCATCCGAATATTATTCAAGACCTCCAAGAACTGATTAGTAAAATGCCTCACACAAAGAGAAACATACCACTGGACAACCAGACATTAAATCCTTCCCGTTCAGCAAGAACAGGTCAGAATCTCTGTTTGTTTCTTAACTTGTGTACAGCATATGCCATCTTACTTTGTGACGACAATCATTTGATTAACATCTAGAAGTCGATTAAGTTAGATACGCCACTGTAAAAATTTTCGGAAGCTGGCGTTTGGAGTTGTAGCCCTTCTTCGCAGTAAAGTGGAGGATTATGGTTTGTGAACACGTGGCTCTAGCTTCAGAACTTTTAAGGACAGAAGGTACTTTACAATGTTAATGGCGTTTTCAGCGTGTCATGTGATTGGCTAAGAAGTTTGATCCTGAACAATTGCCATGTTTGCATAAATTTTTTTATTATTTTGATAGTGTGCAGTCCGTCTTCCCTCTCTTCTATGGTGGATAGACCATTGATGGCAGATGAGAGCGAGGACATATTGTCACTGAAAGCTCTACAGTGTATACTATTCGCAGCCGCTGCAACAAATGATCGCGAATGTATCGAAATATTCTTCAGTACTTCAGCCGGAGAAGCAGTCTTTCAAACGTACAGGAACAGCTCCATCTTGCCAGAAGACATTGCCAGAGATAGGGGACATCAAAACTTAGCAGAATACCTTCAAAATGTTCACAAAAGGTGGATTCTATTAGTTATACGTGGGTAAAATCTGCATTCAAGACTGAGCAACATGAGTGCCAAATTGTATCCCGGTTTCCTTACAAGGGATTGATTGAAGATTTTGTTCCCTCGGGATCTCCTTGAGTTAGGTCGTGCCAATACATACCTCTGGGTGGACAGAGGCACTGTGCAGTATACTGCCCTAGAGTATTACACATCAACCCGGGAAGGTTTCAAACTTGAACCTTTCATTCTGGAGTCCGTGGCGGAAGGGTTGTCCAATATAAACGACTAGATTTTCGCCGTGCAACTCCCTTAGTCCATGGGAGTACCGTAAGTCTAGGGGTGAAAATATAAAACAACTGTCCAAAATGTCATTGTAAGTGGTCAAAGTATTTTAGAGCGCTGATTATTTTTTGAGGAATGATTTGAATTGATTTCATCCTTGGTAATTTGGGTTGAAGTGGCTGCATTACTGAATTAATTTCTTGTCGCGTCGCAGGTTGTCAGAAGAAATCATTTGTAATGTTCAGACTGTAACTATTGATTGGGTAGAACTCAAGCGTGCGACTGCCAAGAAGGATATCTGCTGTAAGTATTTTAGAGCGCTGATTATTTTATTTTACTCGCGTCAGCTGTTTCGTATGCTTTTGTTTGTTTTTTTTTTTTTAGGGCAATAATGTTTGGGACCTCTCGCTGAGAGTACACAATACGATGGCTGTTTTCCCTATTTCGTCATATGTTTCAAAAGATTCGTCAGTTTTGATTGTGATGTGGTTTTTATAATTTGTTTCAAATTATATCCAATTCAACTAAATTGTTCCCAAGAGTTTTACTTTGGCTAAAAAGTAAGTTTATTGTACCATTGCACTTGAGATTTTAACTAATGTTTTCTGTAATTGTTTTGAAATATTTCGAATTATCACCTAAACTTTACTCAGAGTCCTACCAAAAGCTGCTTCGAACAATAAATACTTCTCACTTTTTGAGTCAAGAGTCAGTTGGCCTGAAATGCCGATTTTTAACTCGTAAACTTCGCACATGCGCAAGAGCGAGTTGTAGTTATGATATGGAGAATGGCACTCTCTCGCTCGCTCGATTGGTCGATTCCTGTAAACTTTTTTTCTATTTTAGGCTTTGAGCGCATTTGATAGTTTTTAGCGAGTAATAAACAAACGAAATGGCGACCTTTGTTGCTAAGAATAGTGGTGGGGTAAAAAAGAAGGCAATGATAATCTTAAAAGAGGTTTTTTTTTTTCGTTTTAATTTCAACAAGCGGCGCTAGCGACTGGCAGGCGTGCGAGGATTCACACTGAAATAAAAGAACAACCTTCGTTTATCATTAAATTGTAATTTACAATCCTTGAACTTGAAAACAATCCGAAGATTCATTAAAAATATCACTTACTCCGAAGCGCTCGGAGTTTTACAGGTGTTCAAAAGCTTTTTCTGTTATGGCGTGAGATTGGGGACAAAATCGATCATTACATTTCGAATCGTGTGTTTTTTCTGTGTGAAGCCACTAAAGGTGCCGGCGACTGACGAAATTACAGGTTAACACGAAAATCAAATAACACCTAAACAAATAATTTTGGCTACCGATTTTCGCTGAATTTTTAAAGAACAACTTTCTTTTAACTTTCAAGACGATTTGAAGATTCAAAATAAATATTACGTACTAAAATGCGAAAGTTGTACACCACAAAATTGATAGGCCTGAAATGAAATTCTATCTTGTTCTTGATTATACGTTGCCTAGCACGTGACCAAAATCTACCCATGCGGAAATCCAAAATGAAGGTGGCAGTCTGGACTTAGCCATATCACTCAAAACTCGTTCCCGTTTGTCTCACTTGATGAAGAGGGAATCGTTAATGTTTCCATTTAGACAGTATTGTGTTGATTTTTCAGTATTTACAATGATAGACTTTTCACCCACATTTACTTCCAACCTTTTCTTTTGAACCAGAAACAAAAATGATATATGTTTAAAACATATAACATCATCCACTCTTGTCAGATGTAATAGCATGATCATTTCAATTGTAATGCCTTCTTATCCCAATGTTACTTTGTTTCTTTGCTACATTAGCAAACACTGAACTACTGCTCGTACTCTAAATATGACAATCAACCACAAAATTCCCTAAACCAGATAACTTTAAACATAATCCAAAAAATCATGTAAGGCATCAGTTAATTCACGAGTTTGTTCACAGAGCACTTTGATTTTCTTCTGGTTACAACAGGCACTGATGAATCCCAGGGTTTGGATGACGATCAAAGCAGCTACTTCGCGGACGATGAGACATCAATTTGTCAGTCACCGTCTACCAGTGAATTTTCAAATGAGGATGAGTGCATTGAATCAAAATGTGAGCTTCCACTTCTACTTGCAATTCAATAATACTATGACTTCAGATACATTCTCTTACCTACGTTGTCTCTGTATCACACCGGATTTTTAAAAATGGACTTGATGTTATGGTTTATAAATATGTATAAACGTTGTTTTGAATTTTTCAAACCTGTGTATTTATTTCACTTTATGATACACATTGCAGTTAAGTAGAGAAACGAAAAGAAATTGTAACAAAACGAGTGATGTTTTCTTATCGCCATTATATAGATAAAAATATATCCGGATATTTGGAAGATTGATATTTGGTAAAAAGCCATGATGAAGTCAGATTGAAATAGAATAGAAATGAAATATTTTGATGCTAGAATAACGTTTTCCTTCGATTTTTTATTAAAAGATGCAAAAAAAAAAAAAAAAAGCATAGAGTCCTTTGTGCCCAGCTTCGCTACGCATGGTACGCTCTGCAGCTAGTTTTTCTAGCAATTGCTACAGGCCTGTAAAGAAGAGAAATGGTCCCGAAAAACAACAGCTTCTTGAAAATGTCCACGGTAAGAAATGGCATCTCAGCTTGAAGTTCACAAAGAGAGCAAACTTACTCCTAATCATGAAACTTTTCTCTGTTAGAGATTGTAAATTCCGTCACAATCTGGAGTTAATTGTGTTTATTCCAGACGCTGTTACAAATGTTGCATTGCACCCAAGCCAAGAAGGAGCTGAACCTGCAGAGGACCATTTTGTCACTATTGCTGTTATGACTGTCGCTGGACAAACTTCAAATGCTATCGAATTAAGCTTTGAAAATGGAGCAAACAGCAGTGCCGAACGCCAAAACCGAGAGCCCACAGACAGTATGACCAAAGTGCTCCCATGCGAAATCAATACTGGGACTTTGATGGATCCCTATATCCAAACGACAACAAAAAACACCTTTTGGAAGCGGTGTTGTAATAAAACAGATCAAAAGAAAGAACAGGACGACCTTGAAAAGCCTCTGGGTAAGTAATTGTTTACGCTCATCAATGTGATTGACTCTAATCAGTCAAGCCACGTTTCCTTTGTTCTTTTGAATGAAATTATATTCTATTGGTCAGGTTACAACCAAGAAGGAGCCAGTCCTGCCAATGACTATAATGCCACTTCTGCCGTTACAACTATTGCTGGAGAG